AGATGTACTGTTAAAGCAATAGCCAAATTTCTAAAGATTGTATTCTCCAAGAATGTTTGAAACAGTGTTTAAACATAGTTTTTCTATTTTCATACCACGTGACAACAAAATGCTTTAACAACAATTGTAACATGGACCAGTTGGCCAATATTACTGAATTAAATCAGTCTGACTGTCTGTCAGAAGGTGGAGGTGATGATGGACGTTGCGGCTTCGTATGACTTATAACAGCACCTAGGATATACAATGGTTAACGTTATCAGCATGAAGTACGGATACCGCCGTCGTGCCACATTTTGATAACCATCCCCCTTGTCAGTCGTCTGATTTTAAAGAAAAATAAACTTTGTTTTTTGTACACTTTTAACTATTACATATGAAAGATTTGTGGTTAGTCTTATGCGGAACATCAAATTCATTCTTAAAAAACTTGTGGTTGATTAAAACCAAAATTAGTGCCAAACAGTCACCTGCTTCACTCGCCCGCCAACTAAACCATAGACAGGTTACGTAACTCAGCCTCCAGACAACTGCAGTGACGTCATATGAGGAAGGATTTTCAGTTAGTTGTATAGCAAGCTCGTCATTTTGATGATTTCTCAGCATAAACGAAGACACGCCGAATCGTTGCGTTGTCGTCAATTGCTCCTAGGGGTCGGGCGATGGTGTCACCATGCACAGATTTCCACAGGACCCCGCAGTTCGTGCTAAATGGGTTATGTTTGTGAGTGCGAAGCGAGCGTTGTGGAAGCCTGAAACGATATCTTACTTTGTGTTCAGATCGCTTCACGGAAGTTAAAGAATCAAAACTACTTACTAGTTGTAGTAAAATATGTATATGATTGATGACCATAAAGATTTTCCATGACACAACTTGTAACATAACGATTTCTTCATCGGAAGCGAGGTTGTGGTCGAAGTAACAATACTACTGTAAGCAGTATTATATTGACACCCACCTCGCTGCCACGAGGACATTGTTATGTTATACGCTATGTCACGCAAAATCCTGTTGTCTATCAATCAAATACATATTTTACTACAAGTAGAAAGTAGTTTTGATTTTGTAACTCGGTGAAAACAAACCTAAATAACATTTATCCTCAGACTGGCGGATGTTCGCGACAGGGCGCCGCCATTTTTGACAATCGTAAAGTCACGGGCTAAAGTCTGTTAGAAGTAATGAGATTATGGTTGGTTTTCATCAAGTTAGAAAATCCAGACTATTTTCTACTCGTAGTTAAATATGTATTTCAATCATGATTAAAAGGTTTTTGCATAACGCAACTTATAACATAACGATTTCTTCCACGGAAGCGAGGTGGAGGTCCAAGTCACAATACTGCGTGATAAATTTCTTCCTACATTCACGTGGTTAACGTCCACTCACCAGTATGTAGATACTAGTCAATGTACGTCTTTATATTTGGTCTTATAATCCTAATTAATTTATTATCATACTTGTATGCATTTTGAAACTAAATCAAAATCAGACGATCTGCCGATACTTATAGTGAATTTAAAACAGGACTGAAATATCTAGACATTTTGTAGTTTGCCAATGTGAATCATAATTCGCACACAAGCCCTAGTGTATGTTGTCTGTCTCATTACACTTCACGGCGAAAACAATGATTCTGTTGAATGCTACGACAAATGAATAAAAACAAAATGCAAAGAGATGTGTCTTTTAACAGTCTAATATACGAAAAAGTGATACAGTGTATATCGTTTCAGGTATTTCACATTGGTGTATAGTCTCATTGGTCACCCAAGATAGCACACCTGGCAACTAATTGCACAATGTCCGCCATTCTTTAAAAAAAGTAATTTAGTTAGCCAATAATGGGCAATCAATCAATGTATTTGCGGTTAATCCCTTGAAAGAAGGACGTTGTTTTTACGCAGACACAGACACGATAGAGTGTATTCAGTATAGACTAGTAAATCTATATACATAAACACTACCTTTTGACAAAATTTAATCCGCTGTGTAAGATAAAAGTAATTAATCAATCAGCGTGTTATCGGTTAATCCTTTGATCGATGTTTATAATGTTTGAGTATTTACTCCAGACACAAGAAATGCCAAATGGGAACCTTTGTTGGGTTATCTAAGTGGTGTTCGCACTAATTATACCTGTTATAAATTCATTAACTGACCATCAAGTGAATGATGACAAATAAAGTGTGCAGGTTTATACCACCTAACACGGGTTACAACAAGAGAGTAGTAATTGCTGTATTGCATGCAATTGTAATTGCATGTGAAACTTATGGGCCGACACTGTTTTGAGAATACAAACAGAACTTCATTGTTGCATAAGAAATACATACAATGTATACGCATTTGCTGTGTGCTAAAACTGTATGTACCTATTTACCTAAGTACATTTTCAGATTCTTCTAGCAATGGCAAAGTAGGGTTGTTTAGTTTACTGATTCAAATAAATCAACTGTCAATTTTTAATATCATACGTAATAGACGTTATATGTTTACATGACATGATTAAATATTGAAGTAAAAAAAATATACCCCCCAGGCATTAGAAAACCTGAAAAAGCCCACACTGCTTTGATACTTTATTACAATCAGACAAGAACTACCGGGATATTTTCAAATAACTGCATCTGATAGGCATCCACCCTTCTTAATATCGCACTGTTTAGGTTGAAGAAATTAACCGTAACTGTGATGAGCGAGGCTGATCATCGTTTTCGCTATCACTAGCGTCTGGCTCAAACAAATAAGGCCCAGCGACACCGAGCGATTTTGACAGAATCGTCTATGAAAACAAGTTGTAACTCGGAAACTAGGCAAAGCAGGAGACAAAATTAAATGACAGTAGATTGTGAGAACATATAGCTTTCACAACAGTTGTCACGATTTCAGGTTTATACAAACCTGTAAACAAGATAATTTACCCCCTGAAATGTACATGAATTCTGCATCGGCCCTCATATCTATTCCTCATACGATGTCACAGAGACACGCCGTTCTGATTGGTTGAAATTTCGTTCGCGGGTGAGAATTGTGCACTGTTGTCAAAAAGGTCGATTTAAGTTAATTAAAGATCGAAATGAGTAGTTTTAATGACGGGTTTCATTTATAACGATGCCAATTAGTGATTTATGTATTTGTACCCCCCTAGAGTACATGTGATCTTTAATGCATAACGCCTCTTGACCTCACCTTTCTCATCACCCATTTACAGAAACATTGCAATTGAAATATTGATATGGCCCGCGAAAAGCCCGCAAAATGCCTGCAAAATGCCCGCGAAAGACTCGCGAAAAGCTCGCGAAAGCCTCGAAAGCCCACGAGAAGCCCCCGATACACCATCGGACATCTTTGGGACTATCTTGGACGACAAGTGCGAGCTAGAAATCCTTCCGTTCATATTCTGCAGGAATTTACGCAGGCAATACATAACAATGGCTATTTATAAAGCGCCTGTTTCTACAGACTTGTGCACGCATGGTTATCCCGGATAACCCAACTCAAGCTCTCAGGAGTCAAGATACCAGACGCGGTCACCTACCCAAGACTGTCCGCTGCCAACGTTGCTTAAATTCAACAGATTTGTGACCTAGACTGTATGCACAGGGCCACACACCGCCACATGAGGAATGACAGAAGATTCCTATGCTGAGAATTCAACGCTGGATTGCCAGAATTAGGCTTAGAGTGGCAGATGTTATCCGTGCGTGGGATGACAACACAAGATACTGGTTGCCTGGTGGTTTATACAATCACAACAATCATTATTTGAGAACTTTAACTCATTTCTGGCATTGCTGCTATCCACGTTTGTATACTTTCGGATTGCAAGTAAATTATTACTTAATTTTAATTACAGTTTCGTTCAGAGTAAAATATGTTCACTTACCATTTCAATCTTCGGTGTTTGGTTTCCAAAGCATATACCACATCTAGTGTTTAGTATAATATAAACAAATATAATATATATCATATAAATATGTGGGTGGTGTCTGATTAATGTTTATGCCAATATATTAATATGAATACCAATAAATTGAAACAATACTGGCTAGTCTTTATAAACCAAGAAAAACAAAAACAGTTTTTGTTTTCACCAAATATGTATATTCAACCCTGGTAAAGTACATCATTTCCTTTGTTTTCCAGTTTGTCATTAACTATAATAATTATAAATTGTAAACATACACACTCATAAACACATTGGAAAGGGCGCTCGAAATTAAACCGAGGTCCTGTACCTTTTCATGAGAATAATGTTTAGACATTAAAAATCTTTAAAACAATAATGATTAATCGTTGATGTAGGATTTGGTTGTACCCTGTAACACTTTTCCTGGAATGTGATACATTACCTGGCTTGTAAAGAGATTATCTGTTATAAATATGCAATAAGGGACACTGTTACTTCTCATTAAGAAAGAACAACGTTCTTGCGTACCTTCGATGCAGTAACGTGTAACAGATGTTATAAGGCAAACTGCAGTTGTAGCACACCTCTTGATTTCATGAGTGAGTGAGTTTAGTTTTAGCAATATTCCAGCAATATCATGGCGGGGACACCAGAAACGGGCTTCACGCATTGTACCCATATGGGGAATCGAACCCGGGTCTTCGGCGTGTCGAGCGAACGCTATAACCACTAGGCTACCCCACCGCCCCTCATTTCATGAGCATTCCTCTTACCTAAATGTTCAACTCTTGAACAGAATCGTCTTTCAAACCATCTCTTTTGCTCTAGCTTTTCACATTTTAGGCCCTAAAGCACCCAATGGCTCTCTCAAAATAGTATATAGGAAATTATGTGTCAATGCATAGCATATCTGGAATTTGGCGACAGCACATATGCCGTTAAACCCGAAGATGTACTATGAATATTCATCCATTTATAATGATCTATTTTTTTCATATCAATATTTATTGGTATTAGGAAAGAGAATTGGATGTAGTATTCATCTTTTTCCCTTAAGGACTTGCATTGGAATTGTGTTGTATCACAATGTGTGGAATCTGGGCTGTGTTCGGTAGTGATGTAGATGTCTCCGTGCAGTGTAAGGTGTTCCACAAGGTCGCTCACCGGGGACCGGACTGCTTCAGGATAGAAAAGATCAACCATTTCCAGAACTGCTGTCTTGGATTCCACCGATTGGCCATCCTTGATGACGTCAGAGGGATGCAGCCAATGAGACTACACACTCATCCTCACCTATGGCTGATAAACAACGGGGAGATCTACAACTATAAAACGGTACGTTATCTTGTCACTTTTATTTCTTCAGACACAAATGCTGCCGCGACTCCTCGTGACATCTATATATATATATATATATATGCCTACACATATGTTCACTCCTGTATACTAGTCCTTCACTATGATTAGTGATGGGGCCAACTGGATACCTTCAGTAAAAAGCCAGAAGGAGTCCATCTTCTGTCCCGTACGCCGGGAAATCAGACCATAGCCAAGATCTTTAACCATGCAAGTTCAATTCCCGATCACACACAACGGTGGGGGGCATTAAGATGCCACTAGCAAGTCAGATGGTTGGCTGATGCTAGTTTTGAAGCCGTTCTGTAGGTGGTGTTACCATGAGTTGGGCTGATGACTTGTGTAGTGTTTGTTTTCTGTGTCAGAGAGCCAGTTCTTGTGCACAGTTGTTATTGTCATAGGAGAACTTTAATATTGTTCATTTTTCGCAATGGTAAAATGCCCCTTGACACCTTGCTGGTGATAGGCTTTTTGGAACAAGAAGTTCATAGACTGTAAGCATGCATATGGGAATCTATATAGTCGCACCACTCAAGAAAGTTGTATAGTTGGTGAACAATTTGGCTTTAGGAAGGGCTTCCAGACTACGGATAACATTTTTGCTGTTGACACATTGATCAATGAATATCTTTCCTATAAGAGAGGTCGGCTATACTGTGCTTTTATCGATTTAAAGGGAGTCTTTGACTGTGTATAAAATGTTTATTTTTTAAACTATGGAAAGGTGATTGGCATTTTATAGATGATGCTATTTGATGAACATAGAGACTTTTCTGGGTTTCATCTTCTTTTTACTGTTTGGTACAACGTTTCATGGCTTGTTCTGTCCCCATCATCAGGTAGAACTAAAGAACAGTCACTGTTAACTCTGCCCGTGACGTCACAATGCATTGTGACGTTACATTACATGCTTTAGAATTGTTTATCTTGCTCTTTGCCGATGATATCATCTTAATAGACGTGTCTGTTGTTGGTCTTAGTAAAATTTTGGCTTAGATTATTAACTCAAGAAAACAACTTGGTATTGAAGAAATCTTATACTTTCCAATAAAAAGGGGCAGAGAACGGTAGTGCTTGCTGGGCACTCAAAGTTAAATCATTGTTGTTTTCTTGGATGGGCTGATGTATTCTTACAAATCTGTTTAGGCAAAGATTTGTAGACATTGAGAATGAAATCTGGCATGAAAATATTCAATCTTGCTCTAAACTGGAACTGTATAATATACAGCGCTCATGTTACATTTGTACTTACCATACCCTGTACCTGTCTAATGGGTCGGTGGCCCCTTTACCGGGATAAAAGCAACTCAAGAGCAGTCCCACCAGAGACAGTTATCTTGCAGTTGTGTAATCCTGAAGTTTAGCAGAGCTTAAGTCTTTGTCTTGTGCCGTTTTCCAGATTATTCTTTATAGTTTGGTTGACGCCATCGGCCTTTCTCCTTTTGAGTCATGTGAAATGAGAACTGGATGTTTAGGCTGGATGCCTTGAGTTGCGCAGAAGTATCTGACATCTCTTGAATCAAACTGTGATCCATTATTGGATCACAGTGAGTGAGTTTAGATTTACGCTCCTTTTAGCGATATTCTAACAATATCACGACGGGGAACACCAGAAATGGGCTTCACACATTGTAGCCATGTGGGGAATCGAGCCCGGGTCTTCGGCGTGACGAGCGAACGCTTTAACCACTAGGCTACCCCATCGCCCCAATGGGATCACAACAGCTGAGTTAAGCCATGATATTTAAAGACTGCTTTCATAGTGTTGATCGTGGCAAAAGAAATCGGTGAGCGACATCTTTGCATCTTGAAAATAGTTGACATGGCGGAGATACAGTTTGTTATGGAAGTCAAACAGACACAATGTACCCCAATAACGAAGCACACAACATTATGGATATCAACCTTTTGTTGTTTGGCCAGTAGTGACGTTTAGATTCTTACGCAGTTATCAAGTAAAGAGTGTGCTGGCTGCCACGTCGACACGTAGACTTATTACTACTTGTTTGATCGCCATTCTAGAAGTTGGAGAGTCAATAAGGAAGCATTCAGCTTTATATTACAATGTTTATAGATCTGGTATTGACATGCCTCAAGTTGGTTTTCAATGAGAACGTCTGGTTCTCTAATACCTTCTGTGACTGGCTGCAGCCCTTCCTTTTTGACTCGTAGTCGATATCTGTTGCTTTGACGAGTGTCAGTTTCTGACCTTCTTTCCTAAACTTAGGATGTGGAAGTCGATCTCCAGTTGATTCCATTGCTTGAGTTTTCTTCATTGGTCCGATGTAATTCTCAAGTTTTGTTACAGAGTTAGTATTAAATTATTTATATTTCTTCAACCGTCCTTCCACGTGAATGTTTACTGTAGTTCTCTGTCCTGTCTTTAATTATGGCTAAATTTGACTACAATCGCCCGCGGCTGAAGGGATGATGTAAATGCAGTTGGTAGCAAAAGTGCAATAAGTCCCCATGGTCCGTAGTATGGTGATCAACCTTCAGTTGCTGGTGATCTATGACCCGTTTTGTATATTGTACTGCTCTCTAGTGATTTATTTTTATGATAGCGTATTAGTTTTAATTTAAGAGCTGTGATAGTCTAGCATTTTTGCTGTCCTTCGATGACAAGTTTTTCTGTTATAAATTTATTGTGACGCTAAATATTAACTCACTCACTCATTTTCCTGTCTGCTAGTCCACAGCACTGCTCTTTGTCTTGTCCCTGTCAGAGATTTTTGGACATGTTTGTAGAATCTCATGAATTCCTGATATCTTCAGCGTCCCAATCTGTTGATGGTTGTTCAAACTGGGCTTGATCATTGTTCAAGAAGCTCAACGGGTAAAGTCGAGTTTACGTAGCGCTGGAGCTACTGTTGAAAAGGTAAAGTTATCTTGTTTGCATAAAATGCATGTGTGCTCAGGAGGATCCGCTACTGTCTGGCTCCATGTAATAACATGAGACATGGAGGAAGTTGAACATATGGTATGCTTCTGGTCGCTTTCAGCAGTGATTATTTGTATCTGAACAATACATTACACAAATGTCAAATATTCGAGTCGTTTTATAAGAATGGCCGAGTATAGAAAAAAACTTTACTTCAATGCATGTAGCCACCATGATAATACTGTCAACACTTCCAGTTTAATAGTATCACTTCCGGTTTGGGAAATATATTGCACATGCACTATTGTATCATAGGCGGTCCCAGAGGGGGTGGGGTGCGCACCCCACCCCCACCCCTTGTCCTGAAAGTTTATTAAAGAACCATTGAATCTCTCATGAAAATGAAGTGTGCATCAGACTCAGACTCAGACTAGTTTATTCAATACTACAGGCCTTATGACCTAAGGTACAATTACAGCAGAACATATTATTTTGTCACGTGGATGTGATATAATAAACAAAACTTATAATTAAGAACGGCGAGCATTAAATACATGCTTCTAATATAATGATAGTAATTTGATTGTTTGAGGATTTTGTGAAGAAATAAGTTTGATGAAGTTACATTTGTTTGGCACAACAGAAGTTAACCAAGGTAAATATTTCATTGAAGTGCAGAATATTTTGGACAGTAAAATAGTATGTGAACTTCATCTTCGATGTCGAGATCCATGCAATGTTCACAGCAGATTGTACTATAGTCGTACTGTTGTTTCTCCTTCCCGTATGCATTTACCTTCAGATTGTTCAATGCTATTCTGAATTTACAGAATGCACGTACCAAAGACTTGTCTTGGAGACAAGTAATATATGTTTCTGTGTTAAAATCAGTTTTAAATCCAGAGTATAATGACAGATAACTTGAGGTAGAAATAGACAAATGCCAATCCTGGATAAAGATATCCTGTAACCTTTGTTTGAAAGTGCTGATAAATAACTTCTCGTCATCAACTTGTTGTGATAACCAAGTCCATGAGAAACCTGTTGAAAAGAGCAGAGATCTAACCTCTGACACCCAGTTATGTCTTCCATTATCGTCTAAAGATTTGAGAAGAAGATAGCTCTGCCTTGGATATCTAGAGGAGTCCATTCGTAGTAGTTTCAACCAGTATTTGATTACTCTCATTCTGGTATACACAAACACACTGCAGCGACCTGTTTCACCCAATATTGCTTTGTTTGATGCCAATTTCCCAACAGATATAAATCGTCTAAGGAAAGAGGTATGGACCTTTTCAATTGTTTCATTGTATACTGTTCCCCTATCTCGGAGCCATAAAGAAGGATTGATAAAATCTTGCAGTCGAAGATAGTCATTGCTGTAGAGAACGTCATTGCTTGGTTACGTTTAAATAGCTGGTATACTGGCCTTAATGCCTTCGATGCCTGTGATGCGAGATTGCTACACGCAGCTGACCATTTTAGCCTAGATGAGAATAGTAGACCAAGATACTTGTAGTATGTTGTACACTTCAATTGTTCACCCGCATAGAACCACTCCTCCTACTTGCGTATAATTCCACCATTATGAAAAACGATTATTCTTGTTTTAACCATATTGACACAGAGTCCCCAAGATTTGCAGTACTGGTATAATACGTCTAGTTGTTGTTGCGAACCTATAACCGTGTAAGAGAACATGTTGACGTCATCAGCAAATAACAGCATCTTAATATCCTCGATGTCCCGAGAAACAAAGACTCCGTGTTTGCAGGTCTGGTAGATTTCAGTGGCTAATTCATTGATGAAAACAGTAAATAAAAGAGAACTTAGCATACATCCTTGGCGCACTCCAGAACTTGTCAGGAAGGAGTCAGTTTTCCCGTTGTCAACCTTCACACATGCTTTGACTGACGTATACATATTAGCCAGTACGTTATATATTTTACCATGACATCCATGTATTAAAAGCGAGTAAAGCAGTTTGTCCCTATCTACCAGATCAAAGGTTTTTTAAATCAATAAAAGCGCAGTAGAAACGACCCCCTTTTTTGCAAAGATATTTTGAACATAATGCTTGAAGGGTGAAGATATTATCAACTGAAGTGTGCATCCCCCTTTCTCAATAGTGTGCACCCCCACCGCCCACCCCAACCCCTTACTCAAAAATCGCATCCGCCCCTGTGTATACACGATAACCCGTGTCTGTGTTTACCACAAGGAAGAACAACATGATTGGCTCTTCTGGTCCAGTGTCTTTGACTTCAATCTCAGTCACCAGCTGTCGAAGTATTTCAAATTGAAAGCATATATTGTTACAAATATAAAGTTACCTTTAATTAGTTAATAATCATAATTGATGACAAAAAGCTTTGAAGTTTAATAAGACCTACATTTTAGCCGTGTTTCATATTATTCCCGCATGTTACCTACGAAGGTGATCCTGTAAGGTAATGCCAACGAGATCCACCCTTTGAAATCGTGTTTAGTGTTACATGTCATCAAATTCCAATCTTCGGTAGGGCTCGTAAGTAGGTCACGGCACTTCGCGAGACCTTACGTTGTTTAGTACTTCCGGTGACAAACAACTGACTGACTGACTGAGTTTGGTTTTACGCCGCTTTTAGCAATATTCCAGCAACATCACGGCGGGGGACACCAGAAATGGGCTTCACACATTGTGCCCATGTGGGGATTCGAACCCGGGTCTTCGGCGTGACGAGCCAACGCTTTAACCGCTAGGCTACCCCACCGCCCCGTGACAAACAACGTTTCATACCTTTTCGAATGGTCTCATGGTTGTCTGTTGCCAGTAAGAAGCAGATAATCCTTGCAGGAATAACAGATTTCCGATCTAACCATCCCCAAATTAGCCAACTATTATGACTGTCCACAGCTGTGACTGCCAAGCATGGTTGATCACTTGGTCCTGTCTAGTCATATATTTCGATCGCGCAATTTGGAACGAGAACCGGTTTTGAATATACGCTTGTCATTAAAAATCTGGTACCGGAAGTAGCGCCTCGCGAGACTTACGGGCCCTATACACACGTTTATTTCTACAGAGGTGTTTTCGATGCTAATTTCTTTCCAAGTGACTTTGATCGTTAATGATATCCAATCAGAAACAGAAACATGCAACATGGCTGTATGGGGAGAATCCCCCTTGTATGAAGTCTCCAACATATCGCAGCCTTTCACTCCTACATAACCTATTGTTTCTGATTCAATATCTATTCATAGGTAGCCAAAGAACATGGATTCCATCTGAGCACCAACTGCGACATAGAACCAGTCATTCACCTGTATGCCAAATATGGTATTTATTTCCCCGCCCACCTGGATGGGGTGTTCGCCTTCTGTCTTCTCGACACAGCCAACAGGAAAGTTTTCATTGGTCGAGACACGTTTGGAGTCCGCCCCTGCTTCAAGCTTGTCACAGACAGTGGCTTCCTGGCTGTGTGCTCAGAGGCTAAAGGTCCGTACCATATATGTGTTTTAACAAAGGTAACTTAATCATTTGTTTGATAGTGAAAGATAGTGAAACTTCAGAGTTCCATGGGGGAAAGGAATTTGGAAAAGATACACACAGTATAGATTCTTTTTGTAAAAAGGTATCCTACCCAACTTCAGAACTGATGTCTGTATTATTCTGTGATATTCCAAAGATGGCATGTGAAAATAGCATGAAATATCCCAATAATTGTTTTCTACATATGTCCACATCTCTGTATCAAATAATCAGTATCAGGCATGAGTTTCACAATAATGAGTTCTTTACCCTGCAAAGGTTTATTTGGTCTAAGGCATAACCTCACTGACGAGGCAGCTGACATCGTCCACGTCGCCCCCGGTACAGTGGAACAGTACGACCTCGACAACAACGGACGAGCCACGTTCCGGGAGATGAAACAGTTCCACTCTATTGGCGACACGCCCCTGTACAAAACACCCGTCCCTCCCGACTCACTTGGTAGGTATTAGACGATAGTATTAGGTTGTATTAGACGATAGTAAGTGCAGCCTCTATGTAGTCTACAAAACTATTCACGCACCATTTTGAAAAGAAGTTGTTATTAAGTTCCAACTTATAGCACAATATTAATTACAGTAGAAAAAGATAGGACGGTTTAATTATGTAAATTTTGGCCATCAAAAACATATTTAACAAATTACAAAATCGTTTCGATGCAAAATGTTCTTATGTTATTCCGTCAAAACTACAGAAATAAATAATCATTGTCACTCATTTCTAACTTACACCACCTGCCATCGTATCCCAATTGCGCAGATCGATGCTCATGCAGTTAATCACTTGATTGTAAGGACCAGACTCGATAATGTACAAAAAGCCGCCATATAGCTGGAATATTGCTTAGTGTGGCGTTAAACAACAAACCAACCAACCAACTTACACCATAAAGTAATAATAAATAATATGTAAGAGTGATGTATTGTCATTGCTTCGATTATGTAAAATAGGACCATGAAAGAAAATATTACAAAATTATAAAAATCAGTAAACTGCATGCGTTATTTTACAAAATTTCAAAACTGTAAACAGTGGTTTACTTTTCATTAAGCTATGACGAAGAAATGTTGCATCGTTGATTATGTAAAACCAGTATTTGGAAATGCATACTGCTTTGTTTTATGAAACAAGAACACGCAAATGCATATTTTCTTTCCCGATAGAGTGGTTCACACACTATTATCGCCTACGTTTAAACGATGATTTAAACACTGTTTATAATCTAATCAATGATGCTGTTTATCTTCACGTTTTACAGGAAGTGATGTAGCGGAGAACATCCGGGTGCTGTTAGAAACGGCGGTCCAGAAGCGATTAATGGCCGACAGAAGGGTTGGTTGTCTGTTGTCAGGTACAGCCTTGTTTGAGACAATTTTTTCTTGTCCATTATATCTGTATTTACACAGTAATGTCTTCACAGGTTACCATATGCATAACACAATCCGTGCATTATTAGAACATGCTGATTTCATCTACTAAATCTATCCATACCTCCAGTGACTTCTTCCACTCACTGCTTCCACCCACTGATGACTATTACAACATGGATATATAGATTAGCTATTTTTGACCCTCCTTAAACCTTTCCAAGTTCAACAGTAATTACTTGTAGTATTGACTTATTTATATGTGTATGCATAAGATTCACCGCTATGAAATGTGTCCTTTACTTTCCAGGTGGTCTCGACTCAAGTCTAGTGGCTGCATTGTTAGTGAAGAATGCCAAGGAACTAAGGCTGCCATACCCGATACAGACCTTCTCTACCGGCATGGAGGGGAGTACAGATATCCTGGCAGCTAGAAAGGTGAGTCTTGCATCATTACATTACCCGATACAGACCTTCTCTACCGGCATGGAGGGGAGTACAGATATCCTGGCAGCTAGAAAGGTGAGTCTTGCATCATTACATTACCCCACACAGACCTTCTCTACCGGCATGGAGGGTAGTACAGATATCCTGGCAGCTAGAAAGGTGAGTCTTGCATCATTACATTACCCGATACAGACCTTCTCTACCGGCATGGAGGGGAGTACAGATATCCTGGCAGCTAGAAAGGTGAGTCTTGCATCATTACATTACCCCACACAGACCCTTCTCTCTTGGCATGGAGGGTAGTACAGATATCCTGGCAGCTAGAAAGGTGAGTCTTGCATCATTACATTACCCCATACAGACCCTTCTCTCTTGGCATGGAGGGGAGTACAGATATCCTGGCAGCTAGGAAGGTGAGTACTGGTGCGTTACATTACCCCATACAGACCTTCTCTATTAGCATGGATGTGTGTATAGATATCCTGGCAGCTAGGAAAGTGAGTCTTGCATCATTACATTACCCCACACAGACCCTTCTCTCTTGGCATGGAGGGTAGTACAGATATCCTGGCAGCTAGAAAGGTGAGTCTTGCATCATTACATTACCCCATACAGACCCTTCTCTATTGGCATGGAGGGGAGTACAGATATCCTGGCAGCTAGAAAGGTGAGTCTTGCATCATTACATTACCCAATACAGACCTTCTCTACCGGCATGGAGGGTAGTACAGATATCCTGGCAGCTAGAAAGGTGAGTCTTGCATCATTAGATTACCCCACACAGACCCTTCTTTATTGGCATGGAGGGGAGTACAGATATCCTGGCAGCTAGAAAGGTGAGTCTTGCATCATTACATTACCCCACACAGACCCTTCTCTACCGGCATGGAGGGTAGTACAGATATCCTGGCAGCTAGAAAGGCGAGTCTTGCATCATTACATTACCCCATACAGACCCTTCTCTCTTGGCATGGAGGGTAGTACAGATATCCTGGCAGCTAGAAAGGTGAGTCTTGCATCATTACATTACCCCATACAGACCCTTCTCTCTTGGCATGGAGGGTAGTACAGATATCCTGGCAGCTAGAAAGGTGAGTCTTGCATCATTACATTACCCCATACAGACCCTTCTCTCTTGGCATGGAGGGTAGTACAGATATCCTGGCAGCTAGAAAGGTGAGTCTTGCATCATTACATTACCCCATACAGACCTTCTCTATTAGCATGGATGTGTGTATAGATATCACAGCAGCTAGTAAGGGGGATAACTATGAAAAACAGATAATTTATATATTCGAGATCCTGTTCTATTTTCGTCAACAGGGAACAGTTTCTAAAATCAATTTTAATGAAATTTCATAGTTTACAATCTGATATTTGTTACACATCACTGTAGATCTAAGGGTAATGTTGACAGTTCACTTTTGGTTGGCAGGTAGCGCAATTCTTGGGTACCGAACATCATGAGGTTATATTCACAGAGGAGGACGTCCTGAACGTCCTGGAGAACATAATCCGGCATCTTGAGTCATATGATATCATGAACATCCGGGCCTCAGTCGGTAATGACAGTATCATCATACACTCTTCAAAACAAGAAACGCATAAGCCATTTTTAGAAGAATTAATTGCGTTAGTTTAAGAGCAATTATTTCATGTAATTTCAATGGTAAAAAGATGAAAATTCACCCATCTATAGAGTTCGCCAAAACAACAGCAGACTTTATTGTTGTGTTTCTGTTTACTTGAGTCCACAAGATGGCGTTAATGTCAGTACTTTGTATGGCCACCATTGGCAGCAATTACTACTCAACATCTTCTTCGACAGACTAGACAAGTCAACGAAGTCGCTCTTGCGGAATTCTTACCGACTCTTCATGCAATGCGATGGCCAGTTGTGGAAGTGTCTGAGTCGTGTCTTGACGTTGACGTATACGTCGATCGAGTTCATCCCATAGGTGTTCTATCGGGTTTAGATGTGTGATCGGGAAGGCTATGGCAAGACATTAACATTAGAATTAGCAAGGTAGCGGACCCGTGACGCGTGCTGCATGTGAAGTAGCGTTGTCATGCGTTGTCCATAATCGGAAGCAGGTCACATGCAAGGACTTTGTTGATGTAGCCATTTGCTGTCAAATTCCCCTGAAACACCACTAAAGCAGATGTTTGTGTGCTGTATATACCACCCCACACCATGACACCTCCTCCACCGAATCTGTCGACTTGTCAAATGCAATAAGGGGCAAAACGTTTGTGCCGATGGGAGCCTCTCAAAACAGGGGAGAGAACTGACCTTCTTGGTCGAATCCCAACTTCAAGCAATCGATTTCTGACAGTTGGTCGGAAATTCTTCTCAAACCAGGGATGCGTTGTGCAGTCTTCGCGGCTGTGGCAAGACGATGACGCAAGTGAGCAGCCCGGATGTAGCTGTCCAGGGCTTGGGTGGTAACTCTTGGACGGCCGCTTCTCGGGAGATCCCAGACGGAACTGGTCTGTTGGACACGATCCCAAAGGCGAGGTATGGTGCTCTGATGAACGTTGAAATGTCTGCAACTGCAGACTGCGACTCCCCAGCTTCAAGGCGGCCAATGGCGATGTTTCGATTGGCGGCACTCAGTCGTGGCATGATGATTTCCTCTTTGCCAGGCAAAAACGAATTTTTTTTTTATAGTGATCGATACCGCATGCTTTTCCTCTTACTTGCACGTTCAATTTACTTCGCATGTATTCTTGGTGACGTTTTGGCGAATATTTCTCCAGACGCTTCTAAAACAAAGGGGAAAGTTAACATTGCCGTGTTTTACAGTCACACAATGATGACGTTTTGAAAAGAAACAGTATATTTGTATTTTGTCTTTGCCGCAGGTACACAAGTCTAATATTCACTTTATGTATTTTACGGTTTGGAATGATTTTTTCATGGAAATAGTTTTTTCGTTTTATTGATTGAAAGAGGTGTCAAATTGGTGAACAAATGATTTATAATCAAAGAGATGTGTTCCCAGGTATGTTCCTGGTCAACAAGTACATCAAAACTCATACGGACACAGTGGTCATCCTGTCCGGTGAGGGGTCTGACGAGCTGGCCCAGGGGTACATCTACTTCCATAAAGCCACATCACCGGAAGCTGGGGATGAGGAGAGCCGGAGACTGCTTGACAATCTGTACATATATGACATATTGAGAGCAGACAGGGTTACAGCTGCCTGGGGGTGAGCTGATCATTGATCTATATGTATGAGCTCTCTCTCTCTCTCTCTCTCTCTCTCTCTCTCTCTCTCTCTCTCTCTCTCTCTCTCTCTCTCTCTCTCTCTCTCTCTCTCTCTCTCTCTCTCTCTCTCTCTCTCTCTCTCTCTCTCTCTCTCTCTCTCTCTCTCTCATTATGATTTGAATCCTCTATTTAACCAATTAGTTCTGAGTGTTATAATTATAATAGAAGTAATCATGTTGTGCTGATAGTCATTTCAACCTATTTTGATTTACATTTTGGTATCGATTTACCATGTTTACACAACATTGGCCTTGACCCGTGAGGGATCTGACGAGCTGGCCCAGGGGTACATCTACTTCCATAAAGGAGAGGAGAGTCGGAGTACTGCTTGACAATCTGTATATATATGACATATTGAGAGCAGACAGGGTTACAGCGGCCTGGGGGTGAGCTGATCATTGATCTCAATGTATCAGCTATATATATATATATATATATATATATATATGTATGTGTGTGTTGTATATATATATATATATATATATATATATATATATATGATCAATGATAACAATAATTATATCTATTATAATGAATAACATATAATGTTTCATTACTTATTCAAAAGTGTATAGACAATTTACTCAAATGATTGAAGTCATTTAGATCAGACAAGATAGGACTTTTTCCCCCATTGACTTGATAACGGAAGCTCTGTGAATTTGCAACACGTTTGCAATATCAGTGAACTTCAACGCAACACACGAATCTCCGGGGGCGGCGGGGTAGCCTAGTGGTTAAAGCGTTCGCTCTTCACGCCAAAGAGTGAGTAAGTTATGATTTAGTCACATCGGCAATATTTCAGCCATATCGTGACTAAAACAAATTCAATATTCATGATAAATACACATAATTTATAAAACCCTGTCAACGAAGGACAGTAAAATTACTAGATTATCACAAAATGAGTTAAAACTAGCTAACACATATCTTTAAAAGTAAACAACTATTTTGGACAATACAATGTCAAATTGGGCCACGCCGAAGAGCCGGGTTCGATTCCCCACGTGGGTATAATGTGTGAAGCCCATTTCCTGGTGTCCCTTGCCGTGGTATTGCTGGAATATTGCTGCGTAAAACTGAACTCACACACTCACTCACTCAATTATCTGCCGAAACAGAATCCATTGGACGTAATGCTGTCTGATCAGGGTTGTTTGAAGCTAGACGACTATTTGAATATCTGTAGTTCAATGTCATGTTGAATAATTGCGTTGACCTTTTTTCAAGTTTTGAATATTACACCTCCATAACAACGTTTGCTGTTATTCTTCCATTAATCTAGCACTGAATGTAGACGTCAAAACTTATTCTCTCCGGCACTTTTAAATCTAGTATTCTGAATGGTCTGTCATGACTTAAGCAATGTTAAGTAATGGCTTTGTTGACAGCACCACAGTAAAAGGAAATGTTTCTTTTTGTTTTTAAATGTACTTCTTAGTAAATGGGAGCGGTGGGGTAGCCCATTGGGTAAAGCGTTCGCTCGTCACGCCGAAGACCCGGGTTCGAACCCCCACATGGGTACAATGTGTGAAGCCCATTTCTGGTGTCCCCCGCCGTGATGTTGCAGGAATATTGCTAAAAGCGGCGTAAAACCAAAACTCAGTCAGTCAGTCTTAGTAAATGCTTAGAAATACGGTATTGTCGATCGTAGAATATTGTATTAAGTACGAGTAGCAATAGAGGTTAGACATTTAGACATAAGTACCGAAGAACAAGGAACAAAAGAGACAAAACCCTTTCCATATTAGGACGCAATCTCTCAAGCAGAATGTCGGGTTCTCTTTCCATCATAGGTATGTGTTTATACATTAATATTCAGGAGTGAGTGAGTGGGTCTAGTTTTACGCCGCACTCAGCAATATTCCACCTATATGGCGACGGTCTGTAAATAATCGAGTCTGGACCAGACAGTCCAGTGATCAACAGCATGAGCATTGATCTGCGCAATTGGGAACCGATGATATGTGTCAACCAAGTCAGAGAGCCTGACCACCCGATCCCGTTAGTCGCCTCTTACGACAAGCATAGTCGCCTTTTGTGGCAAGCATGGGTTGCTGAAGACCTATTCTACCCCGGATCTTCACGGGTCGGTTAATATTCATGACCATTGGTGACCGTCACAAATACATTCAATACATTGCGATATTCAGCATTAGGCGCTACTGTGTCAATACTCCGCACTCACTCACTCACTGTGTGTTCCTTAATTTGTTTCTCTCAGTATATAATCGATATTTGTATATATGAAGAATTAATTTTAGTTTAGGTATATTTTAACAATGACTGAATACAGAACTACTTTCTTCCCTCAGAGTTGCTTCCCCTGTGTGCAGAATTACCTCCCTTACATACAAATTACTAAATCTAGAACACGAAAGGAGCTCGTTTACATACAGTACCTAATTACCAAGGCATGAGCTGACACCGGGTGAAGTGTATTGTCGTGCAACAAATTGTGGGATTTCTATTCACTTGACATCAGTGACGTAGTTTAGCATCGTGTCTTCACAGTGCCCTGGGAGGTGTAAGTCGGGCTCCTGCGACTCTTAACTTATGCTGCAACACATATATATATATGCAAGTCTTACACGTCGTTTGCTCTCATTCAGTCTCGAGGTCAGGGTCCCCTTCCTTGACCATCAGTTCACCAGCTACTACCTGTCCCTCCCTGCTGAGGACCGCGTCCCCAGGAAGGGGGTTGAGAAGTACCTCCTCCGGTCAGCCTTTGATGACATGAACCTCCTGCCCAAGGACATCTTGTGGAGGCCCAAGGAAGGATTTAGCGATGGAGTTTCATCAATCAAAAGATCCCTTTTTGTAATTATTCAAGATTTCTGTGATAAACAGGTGAGGTGTAATGGGGTCAGTTTATTTGATAAATATAGAGTTTATTTGGCAAACAAAACGAATATACGAGTGACAAGTACCTGGCGGCAGGATATATGCAAATAACGCCATCTGTTTGCAATTTCAACCTCCAGCACAGTGGAACAATAGTTTAAACTGTTGGCAGCAATGGCTTAGAAAGGTTGAGAGCCTGTAAAATGCCGTTTTATTTAGCTCGAATTGAAACCTTTTGTCTCGACCTTTGAAAAATAGAATGCTAGGTGCCATTACCATAAATTGTTCTGTCCACTCTTGTTTTGACTTCTTTGAATGAATCTTGTCTGTTTGTCAAGGCGCTGTGGCAATGCTGACAACCCAACACTCCATTCCCCGATATGCCTCTGTTCCAGATCAGTGATGAAGCGATGGAACGAGCAGCATCCCTCTTCCCTTTCAACACCCCCAGGACGAAGGAAGCGTTCTACTACAGGCAGGTGTTTGAGAAGTACTACCCCTCCAAGGCAGACTGGGTTCCGTATATGTGGATGCCGCGCTGGACAGATGCGACTGACCCTTCAGCAAGAACACTTAGTCATTATAAAGAAACCTGCCTGAACTCAACAAAAGCACCGACCATATGTAATTCTGTGTAGATTTTAATGAAAAGTATTTGAGCCCCGTTTTATCAAAATATAAAAACATAATGATTCACGTCGAAAATATATGTGTTGTGAATTGTTGTTTTCAGAGTCTTCTCCTCCCGTCAGTGATCGCAGATGTTTGTCTTGAAGCAGCATCTGGATATACTGTTTCATCTCAGGCATATTTAGTGTGGTCGGTGGGGTAGCCTAGTGGATAAAGTTTCCGCTCGTCACGCCGAATACTTGGGTTCGATTCCTTACATGGGCACGAAGTTTAAAGCCCAATTTTCGTGTTCCCCCGCCGTAATATTGCTGGAATATTTCCAAAAGCGGCGTAAAACCATACTCACTCACTCATGATATATAAATTAGTGTAGGAGTCAATGTAGAAGCAATGGTATAAAATGTATAACGATTTCCTTTGTTTTCATGTATCTCTGTAACTTCTATCGAAACAACATAACTTTGTTCTTTATATCATTATTTGATGTTCAGCTTACTTCCGGTACCAGATTTCCGGTGACAAGTTTATTCAAGAACCAGTTCTGGTTCCAAATTGCGCGACCGCTAGATATGACTTTACTGGACCGGCCCAAATGTACAACCATGCTTGGCTGTCACAGCTGTTGACAGCCGTAATCGTTGGCTAATTTGGGGATGCTTAGATCGAAAATTTGTTATTCCTGCAAAGATTATCGGTTCCCAACTGTCAACTGACAACCATGAGACCATTCGAAAAGGTATGAAACGTTGTTCGTCACTGGAACTACTAAACAACGTAAGGTCTCGCGAAGTGCCGTGACCTTCTTACGGGCCCTATTGAAATAACCCGTCATGATGGGGCAGATGATGTAATTCCACTCTGATGAAAGTTTAAATTCAAGAAAGTGTATTGCAAACTGTATACTTCCACATTGTGAAATAATACAACTACCAAAAATGGCACACCTCAGAAAAACCTTCATTTCAAAGGCATTTGCCAACTTGTAACCATAGATACAGTTCTGAAGTTCAAAAGAATTTGATGTAATTATGAAACACTAGCTGTTGTTCATCAAGAAAACATGAGAAAATCGATCATTGTCTTGTCATTATTTTAGTATGGGTCAGTTAGGCAAGAAGTAGGCATCCTCATGGGTGTCAAATAAAGACACCAGTAAAATCACCTCTTGTGAGGCGGCGACCAGGCAGTTCAGTATTTGTTCCCAGAAGTTGAATACAGTTCTGGTGGTGCCGAAGTGTCACTTACAACCATTATATACTTGAAATTGTTACATGGTACACAAACAATTCATGAACTACAACATTCTGATCTATGTCAAAGGATGTCTTGACAGAATATCTTCTTAATAAGTTCAAACAGATCTGAGATCAATACTAATCAATTAAACATTGGGTAGAGCTGTGATACTGCAGCATTACACAGGAAAGAAACAATTGTTATTGTTTATTAATACAAAATACATACTAACAACACAGCAATATTTCTGTACATTCCATTTTTAAATAGCATCTTGGTATAGGCCATAGAAGAAAGAATACATTAATGAACATTAACATGTCTCGGTAATGTTTGTCAATACAGCATTTAAACTTCTACCCAACTGATCAGGAGGACCCCGACTCTATGTAACTGTCAACAGTTGGTTGAAGGAACTCCATTTTCAAAAGAAGTAGTATTCAAAATTGTCAAAGGTATACTTCACGAAAATCACGTTCAAAATGGTTAGGAATATCGGAACTTGCTGCCTTGCCTTCTTCCATTGTGAATAGTATGCTCAGACCATTATTGCTTAGAACCATTTTATTTCATAGGAAGACCATCCAATGGCGACTTCCCACTGGGGCCAATGCTGTTAGAACAATCTAATGACCGTTCCACTAACAAAGGTACAATAGCAGAGTACTGTCATGTTTGTAGATGGAACATATGTATCAGTTTCACGTGTACTTTATACAAAATTCTTACCGACTCTATCTACATTTGTATCTCTGCAGGGGCGGATCCAGTATTTTGGAGAAGGGAGGGTGCACATAAATCATGAAGTACAAAGGTTAGGGGGAAATGCTCCTCAGGGAAATTTGTTTCAGGGGATATACCCCCTCAACCCCCTCTGGATCCGCCCCTGCTATGTATCATTTAATGTGTCACGACAGCAACCATGTTGTTTCCAAATTCCAGTTAAAGACAACAAAGGTTTCTTTCGGGTGCAAAATTACAACTCAACTCCATCTCCACCGAAAATGTTTTCTGCTATTGTAACATGTAATAAGAGTGAGTGTGTGAGTGAGTGGGTTTAATTTTACGCCGCACTCGGCAACATTCCAGCTATATAACGGCGGTCTGTAAATAATCGTGTCTGGACCAGACAGTCCAGTGATCAACAGCATGGGGCATCAATCTGCGCAATTGGGAACCGATGACATATGTCAACCAAGTCAGCGCGCCTGACCACCCGATCCCGTTAATCGCCTCTTACGACAAGCACGGGTTACTGAATATCAATATTCTAACCCGGATCTTCACGGGTCACATGTAGTAAGAGGATCGAGCAAAGTCATACAAATCGGAAACAAAAATATTATATGCACCTTTTTTTTTTTTTCTTTAATTTTTCTTTTTTTCCCCTTTTAATTCGTGTGTGCTATAAGTGTGGCTTATTCATACACAAGGTTTACAGGCTACTCAGACAGATTTGTGGGTCGCGTGAAAATGGTGGGTACTGGATAACACATCCGCAGAGTTACGCCCCCTTATGAAAAATATTAATAACTATATCTTATTTATTATACATTATTTAATAAACATTTCTTCTCATTTCTTTCTGTGTCAACTTCATTTCCGATTGGTCAGTAGCATCTGTCCAGCTCGGCATCCACATATACGGAACCCAGTCTGCCTTGGAGGGGTAGTACTTCTCAAACACCTGCCTGTAGTAGAACGCTTCCTTCGTCCTGGGGGTGTTGAAGGGGAAGAGTGATTTTGCCTGTTCCAGCTTCTCATCATTGATCTGAAACATCGAGGGATTTGAGGCTTTATATACTTTTACTTACTTTTTTGTTGCCTGACGAGGTGATCAGTGAGTGAGGTTTTATGTTGCTTTTAGCAATATCACGGCGGGGGACACCAGAAATGGGCTTCATACTTTGTACCCAGGTGGGGAATCGAACCCGGGTCGTTGGCGTGACAAACGAACGCTTTAACCAGTAGGCTACCCCACCGCCCTGATCAGTGAGGCGAAATGAGACGCGAAATTATGATTAAAGAACCACTAAACTTTGTTTTTTGTTACTCTTTTAACCATTACATATGAAAGATTTGTGGTTAGTCTTATGCGGAACACCAAATTTATTCTTTAAAAACTTGTGGTTAATTAATACCGAGCGATTAAAAGTGGCCAAAAAGTCGCCTGCTTCTCTCTCGCCCGCCAACGAAACCACAGACAGGTTACGTAACTCTGTCGCCAGAGCACTGCAGTGACGTCATATGAGGAACGATTTTCAGTTAGTTGTATAGAAAGTGTGTAGCATGCTCATCATTTTGATGATTTCTCGACATCAACGACGACATGCTGAATCGTTGCTTTGTCGTCAATTGCTCCTAGGGGTCGGGCGATGGTGTCACCATGCACAGATTTCCACAGGACCCCGCAGTTCGTGCTAAATGGGTTATGTTTGTGAGTGCGAAGCGAGCGTTGTGGAAGCCTGAAACGATATCTTACTTGTGTTCAGATCGCTTCACGGAAGTTAAAGAATCAAAACTACTTACTAGTTGCAGTAAAATATGTATATGATTGATGACCATAAAGATTTTCCATGACACAACTTGTAACATAACGATTTCTTCCTCGGAAGTGAGGTTGTGGTCGAAGTAACAATAATATTGTAAGTAGTATTATATTGACACCCACCTCGCTGCCAGGAGAGAAATTGTTATGTTATACGCTATGTCATGCAAAATCCTATTGGCCATCAATAAAATAAATATTTTACTACCAGTAGAAAGTAGTTTTGATTTTGTAACTCGGTGAAAACAAACCTAAATAGCATTTATCCTCAGACTGGCGGATGTTCCCGACAGGGCGCCGCCATTTTTGAAAATCGTAAAGTCTGTTAGAATTAATGAGATTATAGTTTGTTTTCATCAAGTTAGAAAATCAAAACTACTTTCTACTCGTAGTTAAATATGTATTGGAATCATAACCAAACGGATTTTGCATGACACAACTTATAACATAACGATTTCTTCCACGGAAGCGAGGTGGGGGTCGAAGTGACAATACTGCGCGGTAAATGTCTTGCTACATTCACATGGTTAATGTCCACTCACCAGTATGTAGATACTAGTCAATGTACGTCTTTATATTTGGCCTTATAATCCTAATTAGTTTGTTATCATACGTGTATGCATTTTGAAACTAAATAAAAAGCAGACGATCTGCTGATACTTATAGTGAATTTATAACAAAACTGTAATAGCTAGACATTTTATAGTTTGCCAATGTGAATCATAATCCGCACACACACCCTAGTGTATGTTGTCTGTCTCATTACACTTCACGGCGAAAACAATGATTCTGTTGAATGCTACGACAAATGAATAAAAACAAAATGCAAATATTAAAATTAAAACAGATTAAAGTTATAGGAACAATATCAGGCCATTACCTTGTTCGAGGAATGTATCCATCAATATCCACAAAACTGTTCCAAATGATGTGTCTTTTAACAGTTTAATATACGAAAAAGTGATCAATCTTTTCAGGTATTGGTGTATAGTCTCATTGGTCACCCAAGATAGCACACCTGGCAACTAATTGCATAATGTCCGCCTTTCTTTAAAAACAGTAATTTAGTTAGCCAATAATGGGCAATCAATCAATGTATTGCCGGTTAATCCTTTGAACGAAGCACGTTGTTTTTACGCAGACACCGACACGACAGAGTGTATTCAGTATAGATTAGTAAATTTACATACATAAACACTACCTTTTGACAATTCCGCTGTGTAAGATAAAAGTAATTAATCAATCAGCGTGTTATCGGTTAATCCTTTGATCGATGTTTATAATGTTGAATATTTACTCCAGACACAAGAAATGCCAAATGGGAACCTTTGTCGGGTAATCTAAGTGTGTTACCACTAATTATACCTGTTATAAATTCATTAACTGACCATCAAGTGAATGATGACAAATAACATATGTAGGTTTATACCACCTAACACGGGTTACAACAAGGGAGTATTAATTGCTGTATTGCATGTGAAAACTTATGGGCCGACACTGTTTTGAGAATACAAACAGATTTTTACATGACATGATTAAATATCGAGGTAAAAAAACACAGAAATGGGATCAATTTAGATCAGTCATTATACAAATAGGGCCTAACGACACCAATCGATTTTGACAGAATCGTCTATGAAAACAAGTTGTAACTCGGAAACTAGGCAAAGCAGGAGACAAAATTAAATGACAGTAGATTGTGAGAACATATAGCTTTCATTTTCCACAACAATTGTCACGATTTCAGGTTTATACAAGCCTGTAAACAAGATAATTTACCCCCTAAAATGTAGATGAATTCTGCATCGGCCCTCAAAGCTATTCCTCATATGACGTCACAGAGACGCGCCGCTCTGATTGGTTGAAATTTCGTTCGCGGGTGAGAATTGTGCACTGTTGTCAAAAAGGTCGATTTAAGTCAATTAAAGGTCGAAATGAGTAGTTTTAATGACGGGGTTTCATTTATAACGATGCCAGTTAGTGATTTATGTATTTGTACCCCCTAGGGTTTATGTGACCTTTAAATCTTGTTGAGAAACAGTTAGTATTCCTTGTTTGCGATTTTGATCTCTCAAATGTCATATGGTCCCAAACATCCATAACCATAAGGATCAAATATGCTCATCTCAGGGAGTCAGTATTCACAATAGCTCTCGAACGGCCTCTCCTTATGGTTCAGAATAGTTATAACTAGTTAGTTTCATCTTGTGCCGAACCGAAATGAGACAGTTTGAACTGGGTCCTGACTAACTCACTCCTCTTTGGTGATGTGAATCCGAACCTCATAACGCGGTGACCCCAGTTCTCGTTCTCAGAAAATTAATTCAAACAGATTCTTCCACCAATTCTTTGCGCGAGACTTTCGGGGCATGTTATTATCTCCAGTTGCCTAAAATCCGACTGTCGAACAAGTACCGTTAAAGAGGGTGAATTCAAAGTTCTGATATCACCAAAAACAACGCCTAGACAAGACCATCTCTAATTAAACTACCAATAGATAATGATACTATGTCAGGATATGTATCATCTATACACTATACGTCTTTTCTCACCTGCTTATGACAGAATTCTTGAAGGATTACAAACAGGGGACTTTTATCATCTGTCACTCCGTCACTTATGGGTTCTTTGGGCCTCCACAAGATGTCCTTGGGCAGGAGGTTCATGTTTTCAAAGGCTGACCGGAGGAGGTACTTCACAACCCCCTTCCTGGGGACGCGGTCCTCGGCAGGGAGGGACAGGTAGTAGCTGGTGAACTGATGGTCAAGGAAGGGGACCCTGACCTCGAGACTGAATGAGAGCAAACGACGTGTAAGACTTGCATATATATATGTGTTGCAGCATACGTTAAGAGTCGCAGGAGCCCGACTTACACCTCCCAGGGCACTGTGAAGACACGATGCTAAACTACGTCACTGATGTCAAGTGAATAGAAATCTCACACACATGATACAAGTGATGATACGCAAACAACAGAATTCGAAATAAACTTTTACTACGTTTTACTATGTCATTACATGGAATGAAATATCATTCAAGGTATGGTAACGATCATCGGTCTATATAAATAGCGCACCTGGCATGTACAAATGAGCAGCAACACAAGAGGGGGGTTCACAAGCAAGTTCACATGATCAAGAGCGAGTGTTTAAACCTTGAGGCTTTTCACCACTGCCTCAGTACACCTCTCTTATAAGAAATGGTATGGGCTGCAGGGGTTGATTGCTGGAACCTGTGTCAGAGGTGCGCAATCCATCAGTCTTCATGGGCTATAACGTCGCTGTAAGTGCCAGTCTATAACGGTCGTAAATGCCAAATGGTGTTTCTGTGACGTTGAATCAATGAGGTAAAAGAGAGGAGCACTCTTATACATCGCCCTGTCTCTTTTATTTTGTACTCCTTCAGAATGGGCATCTTGCATTGATGCCGTAGACGCAGTAACGTAGTCGAACTGTTCTCACACCTCTGTTTCCAGGAATGCTGGACCCTGCTGGAGGTGTTCGGTTCGAATCCATCGGCTTTGACGTGTGGCCGTTACTGGTTGGCGCTTAGTACGTGGATGGTGTATAACTTCATTGTTGTATTGAAAACGTCGTGGTAAATGCTGTTTCAGTGGACGTTGACTCGTCGAGCAATGTCAGACCGGGAGGTACCTGAAGCATACCTGGAGCAGTCTATAGCCCAAAGGTTGCACTGAGTGTAAATACTCAGCGTCTGTTTGACTGGCCTTTTAAAATGAAGACTGCAGGTCATTTAATGGAATATGTCATGCGCCTTCACATTTCACAACTGCTTGGTTGCGTTTCGCCGACCATTCCAACGCAATCTTTCTCAGGTCCAAATACATATATCATTCACAAGATTGTCCGTGAACAAATTCCATGTCACAATATATGTCTCCGCATTAACCAGCACTTAAAATGTAGCATTAACCAGCGTTTAAAATGCCAGCCTGCCCGACCGTCCGGAACGGTCTATTTTCATCTCGGTCGGTCAAATTTCGGCAGATATTTTTCTGATCTTGATTGTGAGACAGAAAATGCAACAGATTTCTATTTTCTAAATCAGGCCATGTACCTTAGCCTTAACGTTACAATACATGCAGTAAAGAATTCAGAAACCTAATTTGTTTTGTTTTTTTATTGTTGAAAACTGGACAGGCAAGTTTGTATCCGGACTGGCAATTATTTAAAGCTACCAGTCCGGCTGTCTGGCTTGGAATTTTGGGAGTTTTAAACACTGCATTAACTGATTTAATTTGTGTCCATTAAACTCAATGAAGCTTTTGAAGATGTCTGAAAAAGGGTGGGATGGGGTGGAACCCCATATGATGAGTTAACTCACCCCCAGGCTGCTGTGGCCCTGTCTGCTCTCAACACATCATACATGTGGATGACCTTCAGGAGTCTCCGGCTGTCCACATCCGCAGCCTCAGGTGATGGGGCTTTATGGAAGTAGCTGTACCCCTGGGCCAGCTCGTCAGACCCCTCACCGGCCAGGATGACCACCGTGTCAGTCTTCTTGCTGATGTACTTACTGACAAGGTATAAACCTGGAAATAACACCTAACATATGACTTCGTGTACACAATCTAGTACTTTCGTAGAACGGTTTTGACCCATGTTTTCTTGAAGATATTATCAGGCCAAAAAGAGAGTACAAAATGAGATAAATATGGGCAGTAAAGCTGGATACTATTAATTGTTTGATTCTAGAAGTTGGTGATTCAATAATGGAGCATACAAATTTCAAAATGAATGCCAATCAAACTGTCTACATAGAGAATTAACACTTTAGGCTTGAGAACGGTGTACGAATCTACACCAAAATGCAATACACAAGAAGTTGTTATCCATATGGCATTAAGACGTACTTCGCAGTGTAACTAGCCGGCCTGTTTACAAAACAGACACATATTAATATCTTTAAAATCAGGGCATTGTAGTTAGACACATAAAGTATTGTTGACTGAAAATAAAACTCGTGACGTTTGGTCCAGAGAAAAACAAGAATGGCCACTTCATGATGTTGTCGTCACTTCTACTCAATCTGACCCGTGAAGATCCGGGTTAGAATTGATCTTCAGTAAGCCATGCTTGTCGTAAGAGGCGACTAACGGGATCGGGTGGTCAGGCTCGCTGACTTGGTTGACACATGTCATCGGTTACCAATTGCGCAAATCGATGCTCATGCTGTTGATCACTGGATTGTCTGGTCCAGACTCGATTATTTACAGACCGCCGCCATACAGCTGGAATATTGCCGAATGCGGCGTAAAGCTAAACTCACTAACGCACTCACTCACATACTCACTCACTCACAGTACTTTTGCCTCGAGTAGACTATGCAGACATTAAGAGCAGTGGTGTGACAGACCTGATTGTATTCCTGGCACACAGTCATGTAACACACCAGAGAAGTGCAGCTTCAACCTGACTGTGCATATGTTAAGGTTGGTGATCCGTGAAGATCCGGGTTAGAATTGGTATTTAGCACCCTGTGCTTGTTATAAGAAGTCAACTAACGGGGTCGGGTGGTGAGGCTCGCTCACTTGGTTGACAAGTCATTGTATCCCAATTGTGTAGATCAATGCTCTTGATGTTGATCACTGGATTGTCTGGTCCAGACTCGATTATTTGCAGACCGCCGCCATATAGCTGGAATATTGCTGAATGCGGCGTAAAATTAAACTTACTCACTCACTCTACTCAATCTAAAATTACAGTGCTGAAGGTTTTACCCTTTCAGTATCCGTACATACATATTGATGACCTTATGGTTGAACCGTCGTATGATTCGATGTGGCGAATGACTTCATCTATGACACTGCAGGCTTCTTGACGTGTGAAGGTAATTTCATGATGTTCGGTGTCCAAATGTTTGGCAACCTGCATCAAAACAAATATATAGAGAGAACGTTGTATTGTCAATCTTTTGCAGAACGTTGTATTGTCAATCTTTTGCAGAACGTTATATTGTCAATCTTTTAAAGAACGTTGTATTGTCAATCTTTTAAAGAACGTTGTATTGTCAATCTTTTAAAGAACGTTGTATTGTCAATCTTTTAAAGAACGTTGCATTGTCAATATTTTACAGAACGTTGTATTGTCAATATTTTAAAGAATTTTGTTTTGTCAATATTTTAAAGAACTTTGTATTGTCAATTTTCCAAAGAACTTTGTATTGTCAATATTTTTCAGAACGTTGTATTGTCAATATTTTAAAGAACTTTGTATTGTCAATCATTTTAAGAACGTTGCATTTTCCAATATTTTAACGAACAATTTATTCATTCGCTATCATTTGTTCATTTGCTATCATCGGTACAACGTTTTGGTGGCACTTGTATGCAAATGTATGAACGAGTTATTTAACCTTTCCATTATGTTGGTTATGGCATGTTAAGTCAATCACTGCTGATGGTGGAAGACATGGTTAGAGCTGACAGTTCAACATCAATCTGTGTCAAGGAATAGCCTTCCTAGCATCGATGATATGTGCCCTACATGCCAATAGAGAAGGTCTGGGTGGGGTAATGTAATGTTCCAAGACTCCCCTTCCTAGCTGCCATGATATCTATACTCACCTCCATGCAAATAGAGAAGGTCTGGGTGGGTAATGTAATGCTCAAACACTCACCTTACTAAGCTGCCATGATATCTATACTCACCTCCATGCCAATAGAGAAGGTCTGGGTGGGGTAATGTAATGCTCAAACACTCACCTTCCAAGCTGCCATGATATCTATACTCACCTCCATGCCAATAGAGAAGGTCTGGGTGGGTAATGTAATGCTCAAACACTCACCTTCCAAGCTGCCATGATATCTATACTCACCTCCATGCCAATAGAGAAGGTCTGGGTGGGTAATGTAATGCTCAAACACTCACCTTCCAAGCTGCCATGATATCTATACTCACCTCCATGCCAATAGAGAAGGTCTGTATGGGTAATGTAATGTTCCAAGACTCACCTTCCTAGCTGCTATGATGTCCGTACTCCCCTCCATGCCAATAGAGAAGGTCTGTATGGGGTAATGTAATGTTCCAAGACTCACCTTCCTAGCTGCTATGATGTCCGTACTCCCATCCATGCCAATGGAGAAGGTCTGTATGGGGTAATATAATGCTCCAAGACTCACCTTCCTAGCTGCTATGATGTCCGTACTCCCCTCCATGCCAATGCAGAAGGTCTGTATGGGGTAATATAATGCTCCAAGACTCACCTTCCTAGCTGCTATGATGTCCGTACTCCCCACCATGCCAATGCAGAAGGTCTGTATGGGGTAATATAATGCTCCAAGACTCACCTTCCTAGCTGCTATGATGTCCGTACTCCCCTCCATGCCAATACAGAAGGTCTGTATGGGGTAGGGCAGTTTCCGTTCTTTGGCATTCTTCACCACCAACGCCGTTACCAGACTCGAGTCGAGACCACCTTCGGAAGGACACACACACGGAATGAGATATTCTAACTGTGTACTCTTTCACCGAGATACCTACCCTGCCAAAGTGCAGTTTCAAGGGTGGAGGTGGTAGGATAACAGAAGCGACAAAACTCTTTCCTCATTCATAAGAAATCTTTGCCAAAAGCAGAGCCGATTGTACAGTTGTGACTATTTCATGAGCAGATATTTGTTTCAGCAGCATTACAGCTGCACTATGTTGTTTGTAAAGAAATCGGGTCTGAACCAGACAATCCAGCGATTGACAGAGCATGTATTTATGAATCACTATGAAATAGTGATGGTACCAGGTGTTCGCAAAAAGGTGCGCGTAACCTGCCCCACCGGTGGCACCCGTCATAAACACATGCTAGTCATTGCATCGGACATCATTTTTGTCACTGATGCATCAAATTTGGAAATTTCCTCCACATGTCTACCATAAAACTTTTTGAAAGCTTTACTGAGGCCTTGAATGTTGTAACTTTGATCAAACAACTTCTGAGCAAGAGTGGCATGGCGCTCTTTGAAATCTAGATGAAAAGAGCACGTTCGATTGTACCTCATTTGTTGTTAAATGTAAACGCCACAGACTGGAGCTATTGGAACATTGCTCGACATGAAAGGGAAGTTGACTATTGGAAAGTTGAAATCATCCCTTTTGTCATGCAGCCTAGTGGAGAGTTTTGTCACTCTTAATCTATATGCATAGGTCTAAATATGAAACAGTTCAGGCGGTCTCATTTGTCTCCTTAATTTCTAGGTAAAGTGGGTAAATCAGTAGAACGCAATTGGCGATTTGATGGTTATTGAACGATATTAAATCATCCATGTTTCGGATGCTTAAGTTAAACTTCTTGGCCAAATTACCATGTTTTGATTTTGCCAACCCAAGCAGAAATTCTGATTCATATGCATAAAGAAACATATCCGCAAGGAGGAGAGCACAGTTGGTGCCCATGGGGATGCCTACTTCTTGGCGAAATGTTTTACCCCAAAATTTCACAAGTTATGCATTTCACATATTGTGTTCTCGGTAAACTTCAAATGACATTTGCTTTCATTTTTGACAAATTGTCCTGAACCTCTGAAGATAGATATGTAGGTATATCTGTTCACCACTTTTGTTTACAATAGCCCCATGAATCAAGGAATGAAGATTTTATGTAAGTTTGTTATGTGGGATAGTGGTATACAATGTTGAAAAATATAATGTTTTTACAGAACGGCGCGTGCACTCGGTCCGTTTCTGAGATTCTAAAAATGTAAGCGAATGCTTTGAGTCTTTGAGAATTCACATGTTATTAATTCCTCTTGTCACAAAAAAATGTAAAAAGTGAATATCGAGAAAGTCGTTCCTTCATAGTATTAAGGATTATGGTTATCTCTGAGACAGGGATTTGGTGGTGTATTTGCTTGAACCAGCAACAAATTTTAGAGTCACACCAAATGTTGATAGCAGTGTTGACTGATTCAGACAGATTTCTTCCTTAGTCAACATACTGGCCTTATATTTGGCATTATTTGATATGTCAAGTATACCAAGCTCTTTGATCAAACCATTTATGTAATGATGTTTACATATAAGGGTTATGTTATTTGAGGCCTTGTCAGTGGGAATAACTACAGACTGCTCATGCAGGGAAGCCAGACTTTGGATGACAGCTGGCTGGGACAGAATGGGTTTATTCCAATTCTCTTCCCCTTCAGTCTGTGTATTCTACCAATGACAACAACACGTCCTGACTTATCCCACTCTGAAAGACATTCCACGGTTTCTTCATTTCGTTTGGCTCATTTTTGGGCATATACTTCGACAGCATCCATAATGATTTGTATAGCTGTAATCCCAGTTGACAAAGGTTGCTATTGTCAACAATGGAGAAGTCACATCTGATTATATGTCCTTGTTTGCAAACTTCAGAATCAGGAACATGTGGTCTTTGTCTGATTCAAGTGAGTCTGTTTCTTGTTTCGCCAAATGCTTCGAAGCAATATCAAGAACAGTACTCTCTAGTCGATATTGTGGGCTCAGCAAAGGTTGCTGGAGTCGTTTAATTCCTTTAAATGACAGAGAGAATAGTCTTGTTCTCACTTTGCGCAGTCACAATGGGGTTTTTTTGCAGGAGAGGCAGCAACTCTTCCAAGTGAATGATATCATTTGACCTTCGTCCCTTCATGTGACTACGGCTGCGTCGACGCCTTTGGGAAGCTGGAAACAGACTCAATACAATGACTTTGGCAAATCTTCTGTTAGAAAAACTGCCAACGTCTTCTATTTTGCCATCCACATTGCATTGCTGTACTTAGCAGTCGAATCCAATGATTTTCTCTTGGCATTCTGTAAGGTCGACTGTATGTAAGGTGGTGTTCTGTTATATTTTGTTTCTAATATCCTATTTTTCATACACAGGATGGAGTGACTGCAATATCAGGTTGTTCCTTGTATTTCTGTTTTGTGTAATTATTTTTCTGTCAAAAAGTTATTAATTTTGGCAACACTAGCTCGAACACTATGAAATGTAAGCTGACATGTATATTAAAACAGCCAGGTAATATATATACTCTGGCACTCATTGCTGCATTCAAAGAAAAACTCACCTGACAAGAGACAACCTATCCTTCTGTCGGCCATTAGTCGTTTCTTGACGGACGCCTCTAACAGTACCCGGATGTTCTCTGCCACATCCCTTCCTGTTGAACAGTGACTACCATTTGCAATTGAAGACAATATGTGAAGATATGTTTGTCCATACCTTTGGCATTTAATATTTTCTTTCAGGATCCATCTTTACATAATTAATGATATATCCTTATGATTTTATGGCAGAATTAATCATTTCGTATTTTGAAATGTTTTGAATACAAAGGTATTCTTTGCCGTACTTTAAATGGATGGGAACCTTCCCAAATTGTGGATAGAAATGTTTTGTAGACGGCACTTATAGGGCGTCAGTTCAATAAATGCATACAACTGGAAAACCAAAGTTTCCCTTGTTTGAGAGGCATTAAGAAGCTGTAACACTTAGGAAGGATAACAATATATGGATGAACACATTCTTTACAGTGAGATCGACGTTTCGGTGTAGGTTCTAGTACCGTCGTACCATAGCTCTCACTGTAATAAAGAAGTTGTTCATCCATATATTGTTATCCATCCTCAAAGTTACTCCTACCTAGGGAGTCGGCATCTACTGGTGTTTTGTACAGGGGGTTGTCGCCAATGGAGTGGAACTGTTTCATCTCCTGGAACGTGGTTCGTCCGTTGTTGTCGAGGTCGTACTGTTCCACTGTACCGGGAGCGACGGGGACGATGTCAGCTGCCTCGTCGGTAAGGTTGTGGCTCAATCCGAATAAACCTGCATACGGAGTGAGTGAGTGGGTGAATTTTCTAAATTGTTTTGTGGGTTTATAACGGTATTTCGTGTCAGACATTTGGAAGCAAACCCTGTTTACATAATGTAGTTGTCCTATTCTTGTGTGTGAGTGAGTTTAGTTTGACGCCGCTTTTAGCAATATTCCAGCAATATCACGATGGGTGACAATCAGAAAATGTGGGGAAACGAACCTGGGTCTTTGGGAAGTGGGAATGTAATTGATCGGTGTGTACTTTAGTTATAGCCCTGACTATAGTTTTAGATTTATAGCAATATTTTAGTGACTTTTCGAGAAGGCTGCGTTTAGTTTAGAATTTGAATTTTGGTAGTTACTTTGCAATGATATTTGATTTGACATCTGTGAGTTATAGTGCCGCTTTGGCGGCTTGGTCGGCATGTCCGTTACCAAACACGCCAACATGCGCTGGGATCCATATGAACTCTAATTTCTTAAGGTGTGGATATGCCTGGTGGTGTTCAGTGTTTGGTTAATTAGTCGAAGCTTGTTTTCTTTTTTGGTGTTCATATTTTTTATTGCTTGCAGCCTAATTGCTACTATAACAGGATTGTTGCGGCATAAATCATCATTCATGCACTCGTGGTTAATTAGACTGACATTTACTAGTTCCAGAAATACAGTTATCTTAATTATATATACTCGTGGGTAATAATTAGACTGACATTTAGTGACAGAAGTACAGTTATCTTAATTTAAATATACATATACAAAATATCAAAAAGGAGTCCAGAACAGTCATGAATTTCATCTGAAGCAATCTAGACTTGCCAAATCACTCTTGACTCTGACTCCTATTAAATTCATACTCTGCCTAAGAGACAAACTAGGGTATCAATATTTAGTGTGTATTACCTTGTGTAGCGGCCATAAAATTTCCGAGTCCCGTGCTGGGATTCGAACCACGGACCTTCTGATCAGAAGTCGGACGCCTTGTCCACATGACCAAAGAGGTTAACCCGTCAGCATGCTGACAAGGTAAGGATGTCATCTGTGGGATGACTCCACGCCCTGCTACACTTGCAAAAGTCATATTGACCAGAACTGTTGTTGGACAACTATAATCTTTGCTGACGTTTAGATGTGCAAGTTTATCTCCTTTTGTTGTCAGTATTTTCATTCCGATCTAACGGGTCATGTTACGTATCACACAGTTACTGACCTTTAGCCTCTGAGCACACAGCCAGGAAGCCACTATCGGTGACAAGCTTGAAGCAGGGGCGGACTCCAAACGTGTCTCGACCAATGAAAACTTTCCTGTTGGCTGTGTCGAGAAGACAGAAGGCGAACACCCCATCCAGGTGGGCGGGGAAATCAATACCATATTTGGCATACAGGTGGATGATTGGTTCTCCGTCGCAGTCTGTGCTCAGGTGAAATCCATGCTGATTCGCTACCTTTTGGAAGACACATTAAAACAATTATGAAGTCTATAGAAAAGGTTAAATCTTCTGCAGTATGAAGGTACTACGTGATGGATACTTGATGAATAGACCTAGAACATCTCACATGATGGCTGGTTATTAAATATTTGTAAACCGACATACTGATTTATAGTTGTAGATTTCCCCGTTGTATATCAGCCATATGTGAGGATAAGTATACAATCTCAATGGCTGAACCCCTCTGACGTCATCAAGTATGGCCAATCGGTGGAATCCAAGACAGCAGTTCTGGAAATGGTTGATCTTTTCTATCCTGAAGGCGTCAGGTCCGCGGTGAGCGACCTTGCGGAACACCTTACACTGCACGGAGACATCTTCATCACTACCGAACACGGCCCAGATCCCACACATGGTGATGCAACACAATTCCAATGCAAGTCCTTAGGGGGAAAAAGAGATGATTACTAATTAAAATATTGACACAGTTCACTATTTGTTACGAGGGAGGAGTGCAGAGAAAGGGACAGCCAGGTGTTCGAGAAGCACGTTCACAGACCAAGGTATTTATTCATTAACCTGTGCTGTGCCGTCTCCATCCGTTCTGCAACAACTTAACCTTCCCCCCAGCTACTGGATTTCTACCTTGATGTTATTAATCATGATATAATTTATACCTATAATACGACCCCCTTTCTGACCAAGAGTGTGCCCTCAAACTCTAAGTTCTATCTTTATCAATACTATAATTTCATGCCTATAATACGACTCCTTTTCTGACCAAGAGTGTGCCCTCACACTCTAAGTTCTATCTTTATCAATATTATAATTTCATGCCTATAATACAAAGTGAATTGTAAAATACCAGGGACAAACTACAGCAGGGATACACTCGCTTACTTTCTCTACCATCAGGCCTACCATACAAACGGTAAACAAATCATCAAAACTGAACACATATACACCAAAACAGAACACAATCACCAAAATGGGAGAATAAACTTCCAAAACTGCAAGAATATCCTCTAAAACCGAAACAATAATCTGTAATGGAAGACTAATCGTTTGAAATGGAAACAAACCTCGCGTATCAGCTACAAGGGCGCTCGAGAACGATCTCCGAGCGTCCAAAACGGCATTCATAGCATCCCAACACGGCAGTCATAGCATCCCGAAACGGCATACAAATCGTCAAAGATGGCGGCGAGGGGAGACGAATAGGCTTTGGTACATAATGTTTTTCGTCACTATGAGTCTAATATTGAAAATTTGATATCAGGATGTAGCGCATCAAGCCCCTATTGTTGTAAGCTTCAAACCTATGCCAATACTTCTCAGTGTCAGGCTTGCAATTTTGCATAATGTGGTCCCTCGTTCGACTGAATAGGATTTGTTGTCAACATGTCGTGCTACTGTTTCTCTTCAGTTTTGTAAATAAAGCATGCCCCTCTGGAAGGATTTCATATTGGTGTAGGAACTACTTCAAACAGGAACTCTATTCCTGTTTGATTCCAATGGAAAAAGAAGTAGAAAAAGATATTTGTTAAAGACATATTCTTACGTAATTATTACCAGATGTTCACCTTATATTTCCATTTATATTTCTGCAAAGGGTTTAATAATCACAAATGGGATTTGTTTTATTGAATATGCAAATAAAATTTATATTAAAAAAAACCCCGCTACATTACATTTCAAAGCAGACACTAAAATATTACTTTGAAATGTTTGTCAAACTGAACATACGTGTAACCTTGCTGTCATAATATTCTAGAGTGGGATTTTAAATGAATTCGCTGAAAATATGTGAATGACCAACAAGAAGTATATTCCCAGAGATGTGAAATATATGCCCAATGTTAAAGATTAAAGTTGATTAGTTACATACAGACTATAAAGACATAATATTATTGTTTTGAAACTCATACATTTCCTAAAACTGTTGGAAGCGCACGTGCAATCACCACAAGATCGCCAGAAATACACTCAGTTGGACACATCCATGAGAGCCATTATGTCAACAAACTCACGTGCGTGCATTTGACTGACTGACTGACTGAGTTGGGTTTTACGCCGCTTTTAGCAATATTCCAGCAACATCACGGCGGGGGACACCAGAAATGGGCTTCACACATTGTGCCCATGTGGGGATTCGAACCCGGGTCTTCGGCGTGACGAGCCAACGCTTTAACCATTAGGCTACCCACCGCCCCGCGTGCATTTGAATCTCTCACCGTCAATAGCATGATTCGTATCACAAACTTCACATTAGACAGCACACTTAAGTTAGCTACGTTCTTAGTACTTTCAATATGACTATATATATTTTCATGATTTTTTAAACAATAACATAATGCCATAAACGATTTAAGTCGTCGGGATTATATTTATCAAAAGCACCACAACCATTACGCGTTTTGATTGGTTTATCGTATTTTCGCACATAACAAGCATCGAGACGGGGACGAATCTTCTTGGGGGTTACGGAAAGGGGCGAATGTCGGTAGGTTACACTTTGTATGTAGTTGCAAGTGACTTATTTGACTTATGCCTTCTCGCTCTTGGTAGAGCATAGGCCACAGACTATCGAATGCCATCTGACTCGGTTCTGGGCGTGTTGTACAATGGTGATCCAGGAGTAACCAGTAGGTGAGGTGAGGTGAGTTTAGTTTTACACCGCACTCAGCAATATCCCAGCTATATGGCGGCGGTCTGTAAATAATCGAGTCTGGACCAGACAATCCAGTGATCAGCAGCATGAGCATCGATCTGCGCAATTGGGAACCGATGACATGTGTCAACCAAGTCAGCGAGCCTGACCACCCGATCCCGTTAGTCGCCTCTTACGACAAGCATAGTCGCCTTTTATGGCAAGCACATGGGTTGCTGAAGACCTATTCTATCCCGGATCTTCACGGGTCAGTAACCAGCAAGTAACAAGTAGTTGCAAGTAACAGAGCACAAATTGGAGCCCTGTCAGATGTACCTTTGCAAAGTATAAGCAATACTGTCAATATGATCATTCATGTTTCCTCAAATATTTACACAGATGTGTACAGTGCTGTTATGATATATGTTTGAATTGATCTGTTACGCAATTAAAATGTCTCAGGGATCAGGTGGTCAGGTTGGTTGACACATGTCATCGGTTCCCAATTGCGCAGATCGATGCTCATGGTGTTGATCACTGGACTGTCTGGCCCAGACTCGATTATTATTTACAGACCGCCGCCATATGGCCTCAAATACACCCTAACAAATGACACTATCACTTTTCCTTTTAAACACCTTTCACCTGATGGTATATTCCCTCATAAAATCAAAGGTGTATGTGAAAGAATGTTTTGGAATAATAACTAGAAACACTCAAACATCGCTCTGTAGTATTTCAATGGCGGATCAGATCACATCGGCGATGTGTCATATTTTCACACACATCAAATACACCCTAACAAACAAAAAATAAATTATGAAACTATCACTATTACTTGCAAACACCTTTCACCTGATTGTATATTCCCCTCATCAAAATTAAAGGTGTACGTGAAATAAGTTTTTAGAATAATAACTAGAAACACTCAAACATCGCTCTGTAGATTGTAGATTGGTAGAATTTAGTCTTTCTTCGCTGTGTACCGAGAATGGAAGTCAGTGAGCTACAACATGCCGACTTGAAACTTTACTACAATTCTACTGTACTCATACTGACACTAATAACAATTATTTGACTTAAAATGAAGTGACAGAATAGGTCACTACATGTACACTACATGTAGGTTTTCAGTTGTCAGCGAATGTCATCAGCTCTTGAAAATAAGTCAGGCTCAATCGAGTCAATTGTAAAAATGAAGCTGCCGCCATATTGGCTAAACTGGTCACGTGACGAGTCGAGGCATACCCTAATAGGCTTTTCGAGGAGAGACCACTCCCCGTTTTCTATTCTCCCTGAAAATACCGACCACATCGAAAACATATGTTCATGAATCAAGTTCAAATACTTGTGATGCAAGCATAGCCACAGCGGCGGCATGGGTCACAAACGCATACAAAGGCATGGTAAGTGTTGACAAGAACATCACAAGAATCCAGGAAACAATTGATCAAAAATGGAAACGTCCGCAATGTGTCAATCATAACAGGTCTTTACTCCACGTGATTCGAAGCAGGCGCATGCCTTAGTTGTACCTCAAATGTTGGCACTCAAATGTTGACACTCAAATGTTGACACTGCTGAAATATTTGTCTATTCGGGTACATCTTAAGTGTCAAAGGTCAAAACATGGCCAAGCATCTTGCATCAGATCCATCAGGACCCTGTCAAAATTATTTCCTCTGAACCAATAATGTTTCTTGTTTAAGGAGGCCATTGATGGCAAGAACCTTGATTGAGAAGCCAACTTGGTTGGCACATACGTCATCGGTTCCCAATTGCGTAGAACGATGTTCATGCTGTTGATCACGGGATAGCCTGGCCCAGACTCGATTATATACAGACCGCCGCCATATAGCCTCAAATACACCCTAACAAAAAAAATTAAATTATGAAACTATCACTATTAGTTGCAAACACCTTTCACCTGATGGTATATTCCCTCATAAAAATAAAAGGTGTATGTTTCTTGACTGACTTAAGGAGGCCATCGATGGCAAGATTGAGACTGACTGACTGAGTTTTGGTTTTACGCCGCTTTTAGCAATATTCCAGCAACATCACGGCGGGGGACACCAGAAATGGGCTTCATACATTGTACCCATGTGGGGATTCCAACCTGCGTCCTTGGCGTGACGAGCCAACGCTTTAACCACTAGGCTACCCCACCGCCCGCAAGATGGAGAAGCCAACGTATGAACAAAATGTGTCTTTCCAGGGAATGTGAAAAGAAATATATGTTGCTTTCATTACGTACTTACGTAGGGTGCCTCGGAGCAGTGTTTGCTTAACCGTGGTTCTAAGGACCCCGAACAATAAAAGTTCTGGGTCCTGATCAGAATGTGTTGGCCCTATATTTGAGCTACAAAATAAGTATTTCCCAGCAAACAAGGCCATAAAGACCTGCAGAAAACAACAGCTGTGAGTGAGAGTGGTTTTCAGTCGGCTTAGGGGCCTAAGGACCGACGTTAATTTCGAACGCAGTGTTGAATTCGAACACACAGACACACCAGCACACACATATATAGACACGTGCATTTAAACATATACAATCACACTTGTGCAAACACACACATACACATATGAATACATACAAACAGACACACACATTCACACACACCACTTTATTTTTAAAAATGTTCCTACCTTGACCGGAACAGTGTGTCCACTGAAATGTCCACTGCGCTGAAACTTACCACTCCACACACGTTCGGCAGTATACAGGCTGTATGTGAGTCGAATCTAAATACAGCTATTTCCTGGCACTGGAAACAAATGAATCGTTTCGCTTATTGAGTATTCTAAACACTCATAATGTGCTCGTTAGAGTATGAACTTCAATTTACCGCAAAACCCAATGATCGATACTATTCGCAGTGCCCTGTTGGCTCGATACAATAAAGATCTATGTCAAGGATATTTTGTTCCCCAAAGTCCCAATTGCTTAGATCGATGCTCATGCTGTTGATCAGTCGATTATCTGGTCCAGACTCGATTATTTGCGGAGCCCCAGCGTATAGCTGGAATATTGCTGAATGTGACGTTAAACAACAAAACAATTAAGTGAAAACAACCACTCAACGGGTGAGTAAGCGAGTGAGCAATATTCAAGCAATATTACGTTGGGGGGACACCAGAAATGGGCTTCACACAGACGAGATAGAATCGGACCGTACATAACTGCAACATGTTCGTTAATATTTAACAGTTGTGGTTTAAAAGCAGTGTCATTAATACAGAGATACAGAACAGCCTCACAAGAAAGTGAGTGAGTTTAGTTTTACGCCGCTTTTAGCAATACCCCAACAAACAAACGGTTTTTTTTAAGCCTGACATTTTCTTTAAAGAGACCGACATATTGCAACAATGTAAAAGAAGTTGGTTTCGATGTGTTCAGTGTAAATCAGTATTACTCCGCCTTTAGCAACATCTCAGCAATATTAAGGCGGGGGACATTAGAAATGAACTTTATACATTGTACCCTTGTGGGGATTCGAACCCGAGTTTTCGGCCAACGTTTTAACCGCTAGGCTACGCCAACGCCCCCACAAGGAAGTCATAATAATACAGACGCTTTAAGTTATTCCGAAATTCATTTCTAAAAAATGACGAAAAAATATGAATATTATATGAATTCATTCCTGCCCATCGGTGTGTTCCGAATGAATTATAACTCTTGTGTAACCAGGTAGTTAAATTATTGCTGCTTGAGCTTAATCGGTTGATTGTCGATAGATTAATACAATGTTTGTTTCTTTAATTGTCCCTTCTTTTAGTGACAGCATGAAAGTATACACATGGAACTTAATTAAGCTAGACGGCTTCACCCTTCTTGCCCTCCTTTATGCGGTTTCTTACAGTACTATTGCACAGACGTCTGTTGGGGAGGGGAAGGTGAGGAAGCCTAGTGGTTAAAGCGTTTGCTTGTCACGCCGAAGGGCCGCATGGGTACAAGTTGTTAAGCCCATTTGTGGTGTCCACCGCAGTGATATTGCTGGAATATTGCTAGAAACGGCGTAAGACCATATACCCAGTCAGTCAGTCAGTAAGTCTTTGGGGAGCCATATAGGTGCCTCAGGACGCCATTTGCAGTGAAAGGCTGACGTCTCACAAGGCTTGCTAAATCCCGATCCTCAACTTGAGACGTCTTTCGGGGTTGACCTGGCCCTTGTCAGTCCTTAACCTTGTTGGTTTGACGGTGTTTTTGAACAAGTCGACTTATGGCGGTGTGGTGAATGTCAAGCTGTCGCCCAGTAGCTCTGCATGACATCCCGCTGTCGTGCATTCCAATTTGCCATCTTCTTGCTTCTGGTAGTCTCCTTCGTGCCATTGTAACAGATACTGGTAAAATCATTAAAAAGTTTTGGCGTTTTATACAGTTAGCCGCATTGAGTTCATAGTGCTTTCTACCCACAATCGTGGGTAGTGTGCTTCAATTGCATATTGGGATGTGTTTTGACTATTGATTTAGCAAAACCCTTAAATAATATTGAAAGGGACTACAGTTCAAATAAAAGTCAGGATTTATATAGCAATAGGTAAGTTAGTAACTTATGTTAGGGGGGTGCTTAATTAGGTTCCATGTGTATATATTGGGGAGCACGCGTCGCCTTTCCACAGTCAAACACATGGCAACAATATGGGTGAAATAATAACCGCCAAGCGAGGTGGTTCGCTGTGATAACCACCTCGGGGAACCGAGGGTGATTATCGAAGCGAATCACGAGCTTAAAATTATTATTTCGCATATACCACAAGGTCAAAAACATACTTATTTTAGTTGAATTATAATTAACTGTAATGTTCAGAAGCTACAATGAGATAAATGTTTTGAATGGTTCTGTAATTTTTTTACTGAAGATGTTTCCAGTAAAACATTGATGTAGAGGCATAGGGTTTACAAACCCAATATGCTGAGGAAAAAGTTCTTCTCGAGGTGCAATACCGGGAAGAAGGTGAGGCGAAGCCGAGCCTTGTTCCCGATATTGCACCGAGAGTTAGTCAGATAATATGCAATAACGAAAAATAATAAACAGAATACAATGTATGGAAAATACACTGTTGGCGAGATTTGTAACGAAATGTACAAAACTAAGTTAAAACTATGTTAATAACGAACAAATATGAAAATGCATTCGCAGTCTCCTACATAGACATCAGTGATATATTGAAAAAATAAAAAATTAACAGAGCAGTTTTTGTTAATTTTCTTTCGGGAGTGTTAAAAATACAAACAAGCTTAACAAACGCCATTCAACACTTGAAATTGACAATGATTTTCAAAGATCTTGCATTGTATGCCAGGTAAGTGTGCGAGATACGTTGCTGCACCAGAATCTCGTGCAAGTCGAGCAATTAACAATCACGTGCAATGGAAAACCAAGCCATCACAGCAAATGAATTCCGACATGGAGGTGCTTTTGGCTTCTCAGAGAGCTGCTACGACTCTGTTCCAGGCCGGCGTGGATTTTGAAGCAAACTGGTCATGTGGTAAGTATCGTACCCTACATAACATTGTCTATATCTGTACTTGTACTCAGTTGAAGCGTGGTGTTGTTCTTCCATTTTGTTCTAGGAAGGTGAGACCCGTGAACGTCTGGGAAAGAGTTCAGCCCGTACCCCCCTCTTTTTACCTATAGTATATTTGCTCCAGGAGGAATCCTTCCCCGTGTATTATTCCAAAACTGAAATAAGTTCATTGATTGTTTTTATATCTGTTCTAGTTTATTGAATGTATATTTAGGGTGAGGTATGCATGTTGGTTTGTAATTTTGGTTTTTCATGGGGGTGGGGGGTACAGGCGGAACTCTTTCCAAGGTCTTGATTAGATTAGTGGCCTTCAGTAACCCATGCTTGTCGTGAGAGGCGACTAACGGGATCGGGTGGTCAGGCTCGCTGACTTGGTTGACCATGTCATCGGTTACCAATTGCGCAGATCGATGCTCATGCTGTTGATCACTGGATTGTCTGGTCCAGACTCGATTATTTACAGACCGCCGCCATATAGCTGGAATATTGCTGAATTCGGCTTATAACTAAACTCACTAACTCACTTGGAAGGTGAGGTGGGTGGGTAGTGGGTGTCATCAATTTTCTACACATGTACTGGGGGTCTGCAAGTTTGTGAAAATATTTTAAAAAATGTTGAGAATTATAGGAAGAGGGAGGTGGGGGTCAATGATTTCGTACATAATATGCAGGGGGCTACTTACTTTGTCCATATTTTTTAGGGTGGTTGGGTAGGGGATTATTCACATTGTACTTGCTTATCCATAAAACTCATCATCACCCTCACTAGCCATAAATTTTGAATGGTCCCTAGGGTACCCTTGAATTGGGCTTAAATTGGGTTGGGAAATTGAGTTGCCAGCACGACAGCATGAATTTGGGAAGTTATCTGATTGTTGAGAGTACCATTGGTTATTATACCACTGTTGCAGGTGTGCGGACGTAAAGGAAAGTAAATGAAGACCACATGAAGATGGTCAGCAGCATTCTCACAAGTAACAAGCCAAAAACAGGAAGTACGATGCAAAGCGGAACACAATGCTTCCACTCCAGAAGTATGTTTTCTTTCTCTCAGTGGAAACATAATTTTAGGGAATAAACATTCTCAATACTAACTCTTCTAATGAAATTAAACATTATTCGTCAGGGGAAATTGCACTGTTTATAGGCCAGAGTGCCCTACCGCCTTCCCATTCCATTGGTTATCTGTTTGTACTAAACCCAAGTCTATTGGTATTCGAGAAACCTGCTTGATACTGATGCATGTAATTTGTTGGTAGACGTCATTTTCACATTAACAGAATGTATCATAAAATTAATCATTGGGGTAAATCAAATTATTCATTACAAAAATACCATGAGCATCCTGTTTAAATAACTATTTCATTTTTCAGATTATTCAAGTGACCCTGTGGAGAATCGAAAGGTGGAAGGAGGTCCCGCCGCTTCCAATTTATTAAATGCAGTGTGCAGATATTGTAAAAAAAAAATAAAAATATTTTAATGGTTCTGTATTTTTGTATTCAATATGTTTCCAACAAAAACATTGAGGTAGAGGCATAGGGTTGTCAAACCCGATATGCTAAGGGAAAAGTTCTTCTCGAGGTGCGATACCGGGAAGAAGGTGAGGCGAAGCCGAGCCTTGTTCCCGGTATCGCACCGAGAGTTGGTCGGATAACCGCCCTAGGGTTATATGATAACCAACCTCTGGACAAGGCTGCTTATCCGATAACCAACCCCTTGAGAGGTGGTTCACAAAAAAGAATAACCCAAGATATTGACCCGATAATCAACCCACGTGGTATATAACTGTATCACCAACCAACCGCGATATCGTAATATTCAGATCACATAGCTTATGGCGATCAGTGATGCATTTATTTTATAGTTCAACGAACGTTTATGTATCACGCGTTGCCACGGTTGACCCTGATATTTGATATATAGTTTTAACACGTGCAACTGATTTCCCCAGTAACCTTTGGATAGTTTGCTTTGTCAAATATTATTATCTGTCATCTTGCGGAGTTCAACATAACCCTGATATGTGCATGTCTGATTTAAGATTGGTAATTGTAATCGCCTCAATAGGTAGAGGATTCTCAGAAATAACTTCAAATTTCAAAATCATCATTAGATATGTAAGCTTGTAGCAATATACTGAAAGGCAAAAGAAACGACGTAATACTGGAAATGTCATTTTAGTATCGATGGAGTATTTGAGCCTATCTTTTTTTTTAAATATACACCGGTGCAAAGCTGCTTCCAAACATCCCAGCTCTTGTACAGGCGGATCCAGTGCTTGCACTCGGCGCCCAAGAATGCCCCAGACAGGCTCCAATGGGTTCACATCCGGCTCAAAGCAGGCAATGGAAGTTTGGTTACAGTGTGGTTTGAGAAATACTGTCACAAGTCGAGACCGATGTGGTCAGGCGTTGTCATCCATAAATACAGGGCGAGCGGTGGTTATCAAAATGTGGCACAAGAACAGGATCCAGAATGTCCCGGATGTCATGGCTGCCAGTGAGATTCCACGATCAGTTACCACGTCAAGTTTACAATATTGGGAGAGACAACCCCAGACCGTGACAGATCATCCACCGTAAGGAACTCATGTTCTGGTGTTCTAAGGGGCGGTGGGGTAGCCTAGTGGTTAAAGCGTTCGCTCGTCACGCCGAAGACCCGGGTTAGAATCCCCACATGGGTACAATGTGTGAAGTCCATTTCTGGTGTCCCCCGCCGTGATGTTGCTGGAATATCGCTAAAAGCGGCGTAAAACCAAACTCAGCCAGTCAGTCTAGTGTTCTTAGGTTCATAGGCACTGTTCTTGGTCCCCAAGACTCGCTGGCGCCCGTCTATGATGTGCAATAACAAGTGACTCTCATCCGACCAATGCACCGTCCTCCATGACGTCAAATTCCAATGACGTTGGGGTAAACACCACTCCAAATAAGCCCTCTTGTGAAGATTCGTCATGGCTGGACGCTTGATCACCCTTCTTGCCCTCCTTTATGCGGTTTCTTACAGTCCTATTTGCACAGATGTCTGCTGGGGAGCCACAGGTGCATTAAAATGTCATCGTTACAATTCAAGATTTATATATCAATAGGTAAGTCAGTAACTTATGTTACGGGCTGCTTAATTAGGTATCATGTGTATATATTGGGGACCACGCATCGCGTTTCCACAGTCAAACACATGGCAACAGAATAATTGTATCACAAACTTTATACCAGCCGCGACAAATGACATTTAAGTATCAGTGGAGTATTTGAATCTTTTTAAACATACACCGGAAGTCAGGTTTGAGGAAACCATGAATCGTGGTCGTATAGCCTGCATTGCCCACTAAAGCATTGTTTGAGATTGAAGTAAGAAATGTTTCCAATATTACGACGTTTCATTTATGCCTTTCAGTATAGTTTTGCGCAATATGCAACCATGTGAATCTCCAAAGGCTGATGTGAGGGAGTCTGGGCAAGTTCAACCAACGTGTTCGGTGGCCTATGGCGTTAACGCCACTCTGTTAGGTCTAACACGTGTTCGGTGGCTATGGCGTTAACGCCACTCTGTTAGGTCTAAGACGTTCAACTGGCGTCAGGTCTGGGTTGATTACTGGTCAAGACGATGAACAGGGGCGTTGACGACGTCAAAGACCAAATGTCGACCCCTCACCACGGGACAACAAATGGACTCCGTGTGGTAACACTATAATACTGTCCACATACTCTTCCTTACTCTGCCATGCCGCCCCGCACCAAAAGTGATTCATCGCCATATTGGAAAATTTGCAGCAATCTGGATCGACGTGTAAGCTCCATTTCGTAAAGCCCCCTTTTCCTGATCAACCGATTCCGGAATTTTGTGATTGGTCTGGGACACTTGAACGTCATCTGTCAGGGTTTGTTGATACTTGTGCCATTGTCCTGTCATAGCAGGCTAACAGCCTATGGAGAATCAGAGCGTTATAAACACCTCATCGCTAGTTGATAAATGCAGAACCAGATCCCTACTGTAGGAACCCGCGAAAATGCTCGTTAGAGGTTTTGTCTAGCTTATTGTACCTATTGTGACCTGTTGAAAGTATTAATGATTTATATTGTGATACTGATTTCATGACCTAATTTGCAAAGCAGGTCCTCACGCAAATCTACCACTAACCTTTCAAAAAATAAGAAGGCTTCTTTTGTGTCGTCCAGTTGTAAGAACAAACTAGATTTATTGAAGTTATAAATGTATTACACCGGTTAGAACTGGTCTTCAACAGCCCATGCTTGTCGTAAGAAACGACTAACGGTATCGGCTGATCAGACTCGCTGACTTGGTTGACACATGTCATCAGTTCCCAATTGTGTTGATTGATGCTCATGCTGTTCATCACTGGATTGTCTGGTCCAGACTCGATTATTTACAGACCGCCGCCATATAACTGGAATATTGCTGAGTGCACGCTAACAAAACAAAACAGACACACAAACAGTGATGCCAACCTCTTGCGATGTTGGTAGCAAGGTAATGAAAAGTAAAACAAACATCATTAACAGTGGACACAATATAGTTACGGTGTATTATGAAATTCACTCTCCGGATCTGGAAACCGGATTTCTGATTAAAAGAAACAAACAAAACAAAACAATAAGGTGGACAGAAATATTGGTCCACAGAGATTAATCGACCTTCAAGTGAAAGTATCGAAATCAAGAATGACACCCAAACTGTGTGTGTAGCGCTACAGCGCGCAAACTATCGGATATGTGTTTGTGTTCAGTCTTTACAGACATAAATGGGGCGGTTGGATAGCCTAGTGGTTAAAGCGTTCACTCTTTACGCCGGGTTCGATTCATCACATGGGTATAATGTGTGAAGCCCATTTCTGGTGTGCCCCACCGTGATATTCCTGGAAATTTGCTAAAGGCGGCGTAAAACCATACTCACTCACTTACTGACATAAACGTTATTTTGTCACCACGTATCATTATTCTAATACTTAGTATTACGCTGGCGGAGACATAAGGATTTTACGTAAGGATCCGATGATTCCTTTGATCCAGGAGTTCAATGAGTTAGTGTAGTTTGTCTGACTTTATTTAGTTTTGGGGAAATTGTTGAAAGTATTAATGCCTTATATTGTGATGTTGATTTCATCATCTGATTTACAAAGCAGGTCCTCTTGCAAATTCATCTATTGACCTAATAAAGGTAATGGGGCTCACTTCGTGATGTCCTGTTGCATGAATAAACTTGGTTTATTGAAGTTTATACATATAAATATACCTTTGAAGATCCGAGTTATAATTGGACTTCAGCAACCAAGGCTTGTAAAAGGCGACTAACGAGATCAGGTGGTCATACTCGATGACTTGGTCATCGTGTCCAAGAAACGTAGATCGATGATCATGTCAGTCACTGTATCGTCTGGTCCAGATTCGATTATTTACAGACCACTTTCATATAGCTGGAATAATGCTGAGTGCCACGTTAAACAGAAAATGTAACAGAAAGAATGGGTATATGCTGTGTTTGAGAAACTGTTTTTGCAGTGTGGACCCTTGCCTCCTTTCACAAAGCACAAAGGTGATCGTAAGTCACTAACCTTAGTGCAATATTTAAGAATGGGAGTTAAGGTTAACCTTAATAAAGGTTGCTTCGTGAAAGGAGACGAGTTGTTTCAGACATGATCACTTTTCCGCATAAAAACTAAGTGTTCTTGCTGAAGGGTCAGTCGCATCTGTCCAGCGCGGCATCCACATATACGGAACCCAGTCTGCCTTGGACGGGTAGTACTTCTCAAACACCTGCCTGTAGTAGAACGCTTCCTTCGTCCTGGGGGTGTTGAAGGGGAAGAGGGATGCTGACTGTTCCATCTGTTCCTCACTAACCTGGAACAGTTACAATTACAGCAATTCATTCATTAGAACGACATGGCTAGGATAACAGAGCCCTACAGATTCTTCTGAATCGTATTTTGTATTTCCGTGTGCTGGGTGTGTATTTTTCGAAAGTTACCCAAATGATAGGACATTACAGGGCCATACATGGTTTTGTATGAAAATCAGTGGGTTTTTGTTAAAATGAGCAATTATCATCATAAAATAGACATGGATTCAAGGTATTTTGTCGTTTAAAATAGACATGGATTCCACGCATTTGTCGTTTAAAATAGACATGGATTCCAGGCATTTGTCGTTTAAAATAGACATGGATTCCAGGTATTTTGTCGTTTAAAATAGACATGGATTCCAGGCATTTGTCGTTTAAAATAGACATGGATTCCAGGCATTTGTCGTTTAAAATAGACATGGATTCCAGGCATTTGTCGTTTAAAATAGACATGGATTCCAGGCATTTGTCGTTTAAATAGACATGGATTCCAGGCATTTGTCGTTTAAAATAGACATGGATTCCAGGCATTTGTCGTTTAAAAAAGACATGGATTCCAGGTATTTGTCGTTTAAAATAGACATGGATTCCAGGTATTTTGTCGTTTAAAATAGACATGGATTCCAGGC